TTTATGTTGTGTACAACATGTTTTCAGTGTACATATATTGTGAAAGATTAATTCTAGTTAGTTAACAAATGTGTGATCTCAGAGTTAGTTCATAGTAAAAGCACATATTGGCCATTTTGTTTACCTTTTTCCAAGACTACAAAATATTGATATTAACTGTAGTCACTTTTACATACTCTCTCTCTATATATATATATATAGTTTAAATATATTTATTTAAAAGATTTAATTATTTTAATTGAAAAGTCAGATATACAGAGAGAAGAGACAGAGAGGAAGATCTTCTGTCCACTGATTCACTCCCTACCAGAGCTGAGCTGAGCTGAAGCAGGAGCCAGAAGCTTCTTCCAGGTCTCCCATACAGGTGCAGGGTGTTAAGGCCTTGGACAATCCTCTACTGCTTTCCCAGACTACAGGCAGGGAACTGGATGGAAAGTGGGGCCACCGGGCTATGAACCGGCACCCATATGGAATCCCAGCATGTGCAAAGCAAGGCCTTTAGCCACTAGGCTACTGTGCTAGGCCCAATAGATACATTAAAATGTATTGCTCTTATTAACTGCAATTATGCATTTTTTTTTATCACCAGTGGACTGTTAGCTCCTTAAAATGGCCACAATCAAAAAATTTACAAAGTGTTGATGAGGATGCAGAGAAAAGGAAACACTGCCACACGATTGGTAGGAGTAGAAAATAGCAGTACTTTGGAAGAATCTGAGTTAGTGCAGCTCTTGATCAACAATGAGGTATGACTCACCTCAATTAGCATGTCTACTCTAAATATTTTGGGGGGATATGGATAAAAAGTGAAACCCTTGCACGCTAAGGAAAATACAAATTAGTATGGTTAATATGGAAAATGGGATGAATGCTCCTCAAAGCAAATACAGATAAAAATGTATACATATATATATATACATAGAAATATTGTTCTAGATCTCTGTCCAAAGAAAATGACATCGCCATGTTGAAGAGATACCCATGCTCCTGGGTTTATTGCAGCATTAGTCACGATAACCTGGATGTGGATTCAGCCTGGATGTCCCTCCATGGAGGGCTGGATAAAGAGGGATATCAATACACAATGGAATTTTTATTTTACTTCCAAAGGAAGAAACCCCTGTCCTTTTAGAGAGCACAGCTGAACCTGGGAGACTAGTTAGGTGAAAAAAAAAAAAACAGGGAAAGAAAACAAATACCACATTATCTTAATCATATGTAGATTCCAAAAGCATTGAGTTCATAGGAACAGAAAGTAGAGTGGGACTTTCCAGGGGCCAGGATAGAATGGGGAAGGAGATATGAAGATGCTAGTCAAAGCTTCCTCCTTTTCAGAGCCAGCTCCTTCGGCCCCTTCCGACCATTTGCATGTAAACCTCGTGGCCCAAATGTTCCAGCCAGGGTCATCTCATGGCAAAGTCAACTGGGCATATTCTCCTGCCCTATTCTCCGGGTACCCTCCTTTTCTTAGCTCCCTGTAATAATATCTGGTACCTATTTGGATCCACCTGTTGTGTTACAAGATCCTCTTCCTTCTGCAGTTTCTAAGAAGGGTCAAGGATCCCATTTTTCATGTCACTCCACATACAACTCACCTGTTGGTTTCAAGGACCATCCCCAGCCCCAGCTCAGATTCTCCACCTGCACTTCAGACCTCTCTCCCCTATTGCCTCCTGCAAGGTAACAGGTGGCAAATCTGAAACCATCCATTCCCTGAGGCTTCTCTTCACTGTATGGCCATCCATTACCAAGGTGAACACTTGGTGCCTGCATTTCTGAAGTCTTCCTTTTCCCCTTAACCCTCACTGCATTAATGATCACCAAATCTTGCCTTTCAACTTTCAGCTATTTCCCGTCTCTACCCTCCTTCACCAATCCTAATTCAGGCCTCTAACAGCTGTTTATAGGTCTCCTTGCTTCCATTCTTTGGTGAAAAATATTTATTTATTGGGTCTGGCATGTCAGCTCAATGACTGAATCCTTACCTTGCAAGAGTCGAGATCCCATATGGCCACCGGCTTGTGTCCAGGCTGCTCAACTTCCCATCCCCCTCTCTGCTTATGGCCCGGGAAAGCGATAGAGAATCTTGTACCCATGTGAAGGCCCCCCCAAAAAGCTTCTGGTTCCTGGCTTCAGATCGGCTCAGCTCTAGCTGTTGAGCCACTTGGGGAGTGAACCAGCAAATGGAAGATCTTTCTCTATATATCTCCTTCTCTCTATAAAATCTGATCTGCCTTTTCAATAAAAATCAATAACTCTTTTTTAAAAAAAGATTACTTATTAATTTATTTGAGATAAAGCTCTTCCATCTACTCTCCCAAATACCTATACAGCCAGGGTTAGGCTGGGATTGCAGTTGACAGCCAGAAATGCAATCCAGGTTCCCCATGTGGGCAGCAAGAGCAGTCACTGCTGCCCTAAAGGGTTTACATTAGCAGGAAGCTGGTGCCAGGAATTAGAGCTGGGAATCAAACTAGATACCCTGGTGTGGGTCACAGGCCTCCTCACTGCTAGGCTCAATGTCATCCCACTTACTGCCTTCTTTGTGTCCTCTACCCTGTGCTCAGATGCCACAGTGCCATCTCCCAGTGTTACCCCATCACCCTCAGGCTAAGCTCCCAGGTCCCTGGCCCCTGAGAAGTTTCCACCTTGACTGAGATTTCTCCAGGACACACTCCATGCTGCAGACCATCTATGCTGTCTGAACTCTTAATCTCATCCAAACCTGAGCGTACACTCTTGTCTCTGCCTAGATCATTGCACGTGTGGTCTCTTCCTGCTCTTCACCTTTCACAGGACTCCCTTCTCAATGCTGTCAACTGCCTTGTGTTTCACATCTCAACTCCCGGGTCTCCGGGGGCTGATCCAAATCCCCTTCAGTTACCCACTCAGTTCTTGGCTGCCCTCTGAGTGCTGTAAGGTGCTTGTGCACAGAGCTCTCATCCCTGCAGTGCTAACCAGCATCTGGTGACTACTTGTTGGGGGAAACAATCAGACAGGATCACCATAAGCATGCTCCAGACCCTACCCTGAGAGTCAGGCCTTAAGCCTTATAGCAAAACGCAAGATTGCACTCAGAGCCTTTGTACTATCGCTCTGTCTGCTTGTACTGTTCTTCATATAGCCCTCTTTATTTCTCAGTCTTTGTTTACCAGAGACCATACCTCATCATCCTACCAAAAATAGCATTCTCTGCTCTATTCCTTTTCTTGTGTTATTTTTTTCTCCATTGAACTTGCCACCATCCACCATCGTTGACATTGCTATTATTGTTTAACCATTTCCTCCTTTCCCATGTACTTCCCTCATGAGCCAGGGCCCTGTTTTGCTTACTTGCTATTTGCTTGCTTTCCAGACAAGTGCCCGGTTTTGAATTTGTGGCCAAAATATCTGTTGAGTGTATGGAAGTGAACAAGGAACTGGCAGACAGCAAGAAAGGAATGGACAAAGCAAAGAATGCAGCAAAACCAAGGCCTTGTTCTGATGCCATTTCTCTCTCCTCCTCCTCCCCAGCTCTTGTCTTTGGCCTTGGTTTTATTTTTATTGGCCCAGACTTTACCTTAATGTTTTGTTGTACCTGAGTTGAAGAACAGACAAGGTCAGCCGAGCCCCCTTGAATACGGACTGATCAAAGACCTGGCTGGGAGCAGCCTACTACGTCAGGCTGTAATGCACAAGTAAGAGGTGATTGTATCCAGTGCGGTCTGCGGGTGATAAGATGTCCTTTGCCAACAGCTACCTTGTCCTCACGCCCCCTGTTTGCTGATAGACACTTGTGATTTTCCCTGGGATCATATGGCCCTAATAGCATGAGGCCTTGGCCTCCCCTGCAGGAAAGTCGCAGCTGCAACTCCCGAAGGCAGCTGGCAGTCAGGCAGAGAGTTCCCATCAGCACTGGCGTCCTCTGACTCACTTGGCAAAGCAGTCCAACAGGCTTGCGGAAGCCTGGGATCCGGTGTCCAGCAATCCCTGGTGGACTGTGTGCACCAACCCCCACCCCCGACTGGCAAGCCTGGTGAACCTTCTATAACCATGGCGAGAGTCTGCTCCCCACTGTTGGTGTGGTCTTTAGGACTGAGAGAGAAACGTTCAGCCAGTGAAGGGCGTATCAGGGTATACCTGGGACCTGCCATTGCCTGGCTTAGTCCTCATTAATCTAGGGACACATGGAGTCATGCTTATCATACCCACTGGGGTTGCCCCACAACCTAGCATAGCACCTGCTGCACAGAATGCTTGTGAAAAGCAGAATGACATTCATGGAGGCCTCATGGTCACATCCACGACACAGATGCGGCAGATGTCCATCTAACAGCACCTACATCCAAAGCACCTGACCTGCTTGGAAGCCGTCTGCATACATTCTCTCATTGACCAGGCCCAGGCAGGTGAGACTGTGTCCAACTTTTCACCTGCTCCCTGCCCTGTTCCTAGCATCTCACACTCAGTAGTGCTTAGCCATTATTTCTGAGGAAGAATGAATGCATGAATGGATGGAGGGTATGAAGCACAGAAATTTTGTGTATCTTGTCCAAGTTCACACAGCAGAACCTGGGCTGAACCCAGTCTCAGAGCAGACTGTGAACTCCTTGAAGATATGGGTAGGGTCTGAACTCCTTTGAAGACACGGGTGGGGTCTGCTTTCTCCCATCACAGGATCCCTCGTGCACAGACAGTGCCTGCAGCTAGTAGGCGCTCAGTCAGTACTTGTTGAATGAATACATGAATGACTTCCAACACCGACCTTTTCAAATGTTTATTTTGCCACACTTGATGGGGGTCTCATGAGCAGATTTGTCACAAGTTCCACTTGGCGAGCAGGCAGTGCTAACAGACTTGGACAAGTTGCAAGAGCAGGGACTGAAGGGTAGGATCTAGGAGTTGGCTGGCTGAAGCATGAGCTCCGTTCCTGTGGCTGGAGCAGCAGCCAGAATCGCCCTCCTGGCCAGCAGAAGGGGGTCCTGGTAGCGCAGCACACAGGCTTTCTTGCCATTTCCTCATCACTGAACTGCCAGGGTCAAGATGGACGTGAGAAGAAGAGGCAGCCAGACTTTGAAGAGCCCTGAAAGAGAAAGCCATCACGGCCTCACTGCCAGCACTTGGTGTTTGCGTGCAAATGAATGGACATTACCGCTGAGGCACCAATGGGAAAGGGACACCCTCTCCAGACCGTCGCTCAGAACAAAAAGGAAGCCTCTGCGGCTGGCGTGTGGTGCAGCCGATTAAACCTCTGCTTCCAATTCAGACATCTCACCCCAATTTGAGAACTGGCTGCTCTGTGCTTTTGCTCCAGCTCCCTGCTAACGTGCCTGGGTAGGCAGCAGAAGATGGCCCAAGTGTTGGGGCCCAGTCACCCACATGGAGACCCAGGCGCGTTCCTGGCTTTGGCCTGGCCTGTCTCTGAAAATGGGAAACAAACCTGTAGATGGAAAATCTCTTACTCCCTCTGTCTCTCCCCTTCTCTCTGTCCCCCTGCCTTTCAAATAAATCAGCTTTAAAGAAAGATTTTTCTTTCTCTAATCAGAAAAGAGTGCTCACCATCCATGGAAAAAGAAATAAACAGGTGCCCTCCCAGATAGATGAATTTCATCTTTCTTCTAATTAAAGCTTAAGACCCTCCACAACAGGACACTCTAGGGCAGTGCTGGTCCTATCCAACCATCCCTAGAGACCACGGCAGGCTGGGCATTCACAGGAACACCTGACTCTCCCATCCTGAGCCCAAGACCCAGACTGAGCTAGCTCAGGTTGCACACCAGCTGATGTAATACCACCACGCGTCCAGGTGCCGGGAGGCAAGAAGGGCAACTATTGCCTGAGCGGACTTCTCATTTTTGATTTTCAGACAGTTCAGCCACCGTAGAAAACCTAGAGCCATAGAAACACCCCCCGCTCCAGCTCCTGGCCTTCCTGTTCAGTGGGGGGGGGCAAAGAAACAAACAAATGGAGGCTCTTGATTTTTCCGTTGTGTTCAGCCCAGCGTTACGTGTGGGTCTTGGCACACAGTAGCACTCAACACTTCTTAGTCACCTGCTAGTGAACTCTAAAATGGGGGCTGGAGATGGCATTGTGGCACCCCCAAAAATGCCCAGATGCAGATGAGAGGATGTGACTTCCTTTTGGGGTACAGGCTCATAGGGTGTGTGTGTGTGTGTGTGTGTGTGTGTGTGAGTGCAGGCATGCAGGCAACCACATCTGCGTGCGCAGAGAAGAGCAAACACACGTGACCTCCCATATGTGCCCAAATGTGCCTGACTCACAGTCTCGTGAACCCGTGTCCCTATGCAACAGGAGCCACTGTAAGACGCCCCAGGCCCAAATGTCTCCATAGACATGGTCGCCTCTGTAGAGCTCAAGCCAAGCACACCCTGGGACTCACAGAGAGAAGCTCTGTGGCATTCTGGAGCAGAGCCCTGGGCAGAGAGCAGCTATACTTACCCATGCTGCTGGAAGCAGCCCCCGAGACTACAGCCTGGAGATCTTTGGGAAGGAAACAGAAGGCATCATTAGAACAAGAAGGCAGGCAGGTGAGGAGGAGCGAGGGGAGGCCCCCGGAACCTGCTCATCTACTTGAAGCCAAAGTGTGCTTTCTGAACCCTGAATCTGGTTTAGTGAACGCCTCTGTTCCACTTTCTTCAGTGTCTCCCCACTGCTTTCCAGAGAAAGACACAAAACTTCAGTCAGAATGATAATGTTCTACCTTCATCTCAAGCTTTGCCTGCACCTGATCATCCCTCATCAATTTCAGGCTTCCAGGCCTCCTTGCAGTTCCTCCAGCAGCTGGGCCCCTCTTCCCCCAGGACCTTGGCCCATGCTGCACCCCTACCTGGGAGTCACTGCCTCTATCTACTCTCCTCTTCCCCTCTTGGCTCACTCCATCATAGTTTCTAAATGTCAGCCTCATTCTTCCCAATCCCCTAGATGGAATCTGCTTCCCTCTATTGTAAAAGCTCTTTTCCCTCATTTCCCTGAAGGTTATGGCTTTGAATAAATCCAACCGAGTTTGAACAAAATTTCTTGCAAGGATCCACCTGCTCCACATGAGTAATGCTACATCTGTTTCTGCTCACAAGATCCCCAACCTCTCACCCCGGGGCCTGGCATACAGTGAACTAATGAATGCATTATTCATGGGAACTGAATATTCATCAAAGAGAGACAGTTTATGTTCCAAGTGCCCCCCACCCCCAAGGATCCACTAGCTCCCCACCAGTCCTTTAGATCCCAGGAAGATCCCAAGGGGAACCAGGTTTTGGGTGCACACACTCTCTCCCCCAACTGCAATCATTCCCACCCAGTCAGAAACCGTTCTTACTTTGCCGTGTGATGGGACCCAAGTTCAGGACCCGGGACTGGTCAATGGAACCCCCACTTCGAACTCTGGTTCCAGTACAGGTCTGCAGGGAAGAGAGTGACCAAGAAAATCTGTCATGAGAGAGACCACACATGACCCTGGCAGGTGACATGAGTTGAGGTAGGAGAGGCAAGATCAGGACACATGGGGACACATGGAGGATAGAGGTAATGTCACTTAGCTCTACAATTTATCATGACCTTGGGCCATTACTTAAGCTCTCTGAGCCTCTCTTGGCCTAGAAAATGAGGCAAGTACTACCTACCTTGAAGAGCTGCTGCAGAGCCTTAGAAAGCTCAGATAGAACCCAAGCCCAAAGCTTTCTCACCCAACTTTCCAGGAGCTCAGGTTTCCCCTGTAGCCACACTCATCCCATCTCCCTTGTCCTCCTCTCCCAGTTTTAACAGGGGAGTGCTGGGATGCAGCTGTAGCTGGTTGCCTTGGCTATGGGGGCTGGGGGAGGGAGAGGGTGAGTTCTGCAGGCCGAGGGCACAGAGGGCACTCACAGGCGTGCACTCCTCCTCGATGATGTCGCAGAGATACACCTCACAGTGCAGGTAGACCAGGTCGAAGTTTCCTGCAAACCGGAACATCTGCACGGAAAATCGGGCCTGCGGAGACATCCCGTTCTCCACCACTTGGATGGTTGAGTCCCTAGAGTGTGGGCATCTGGGCGATGGAGGATAGAGTGATGTCACATACTGTCCAAAGCAAGATAGTGCTCGACCACCTGTATTAGCCCTGTTACTGCGGCAACTTTCTTCATCTCCCTATGCTCCAATTTTCCCACCTACACATAAAGAATGCAGGGGTGGTTATCACTGCCCACATCCTAAGATGGTTTTAGGGATTAAATCAGCTAAATTTTCACAGAGCTTATAACAGAAGGGGATGCACGGCAAGCACTGACCATTTGACACGAAAGCAAGAATGTCATAAGCGTATGTGGTGTTAAAACCATCCACACATCAGCAGTTTCTGATTTCTCAGGAAATGGCATTAAAGCCTCATCAATTACAAGTTTACACTGATAGGCCTGGACTAATTCTAACAAGGGAACAGGGGCTAGTGACCACGTGGCGGCAGGTGCACCCATCTTCAGACGCACACGACCGTACCCAACCAAACATGCTAAGAGAAAGACAAAATGAAAAAGCCACAGCCCAAGGACTTGCACATGGCTGCCAGGGTGAGAAACCCGGAGTTTCGGGGCTAGCCAGTTGGGTGCCCTCTCTGCTGTTTCCTGTTCAACATTGATTCAGGAGAAAGGTTGAATGCTGACTCTGAGAACCGAGAAGGGAACTTTTCAGGGCGCATTTCCCCTCCATTGTGTGCTCCCCATGATTCAGAGCTGATCACCCAAGTGCAAACTCCACTTGGCAGAGTAAAAACATTGAGGTAAAGTGGACCCACCTGTCAAGAAGCAGACAGGGTGGCGTCTGGCCGGACCACAGGCAGCCCCGTGCATCAACCCAAGCCAGACATCCAAGGGTCCCCTCATCCAACTTCAGCATTCTCCCGACTCGTCCCCTTCTTGTTTGCATCTTGTAATGTTCTTGGCTTCTCTCCAAGACCATGATACTCAACCCAGCCCCTCTTGCACGCACAAACCCACAGCCGGACCAAAACACACAGACACACCCCAGTGTTCTTCCTTCTTCTTTCTCAAAATTTCCCAAGCTTTCTACAATGTACCTGCTGTACTTTTATCTGAAGAAAAACAAACTTTAAAAACCCCAGGAATTTTTCAAGAGGTATTACTTATCCCCATTTTGCAGGTTGGAAAAAGACAAATATCCTAAGAGATGAGCTAACTTGCATCTCAGAACTAAGAATGCCAAAGCCAGGATTTGAACTCAAATCTCCAGGAAACCTCCAGCAGGGCCATGCCTGTGTTTTCCAAATTACCACTATGTTTGGTCGTATCCAGATGCCATCTTCCTGATTTTTCTCCTGCATATCCCAACATCTGTGTTGCTATTATTACCTGAACTCCTTCAAGTTCATTTACAACTTTCATTGAAATAGTTATTTTCTAGAAGTACTTCAAGGTTGTAATGATACATAGCAAATTGGTTATCACGCAGCATAAGTAAAACAGCCATTCTATAAGCACAAGGTAAACTGAAGAGTGTTAGTAAATCTTGGGCACTATTACTTGTCAATGGCCCTAAACCACACTTCCACTTTGTTTTTATTGCAGAGGGAGATTCCAGCTAACAGAAAGGCAAGTGCTTCAGACTCAACTGCAACTGCCCCTTGATCCCAGGAGGTCTGGCGAGGACTCCTCTCCTGCCTCCCCTTCATTTATTCTATAGCCTCCTTGTCATTCACATCCTGTATATTCCTTTAGTGTTTCATTGCTAGGGAGGACAGGGGTTCACCTCCCTAACTCCCTGTGGCATCCCTAGAGCCTGATTCCCAACAAACTCCCTAAGCACCTGTTCAGCTGCTGGGTGGGAACACAAGCTCCTTCTTCCCTAATATGGTATTCAGGCACCTGTGTCCTCTCAGTTTCACCTGGCCTCTGGCTAACCATGCTCATCCCTCTCCCAACTAGGTGCCAGGCAACCTGGTGCCCTTACGATCTTCTGAGTCATGGACCCCTCTGCCCTCTGGTGAGCACTGTCTGTTCTTCCTCCTCAACAACAATATTTTAGGAGGAAGGCATTGGGTTGCTGTGCGATAAGCTGCTATTTTGGGTGCCTACATGTCACACCACAGTACCCAGTTCCAATTTTGGCTGCTCCATTTCTGATCCAGCTCCCTACTAAGGTGCCTGGGAAGGAAGCAGATGATGGTTTAAGTGTTTTGATCCCCTGCCACAGCTGTGGATGGAGTTACTGGCTCCTGGCTTCAGCCCAGCCTGGCCCCAGCTACTGCAGCCATTTGGCAATAAACTAGTTGATGGATGAATGGATAAATGAAGGGTCTCTTTCTCTCTCTCACTCCTTCAAATACATAAGTTTTTCCAAAAAATAACACTTTCAGTACATAAAATATGCAAAGGATTTTAAAGGAAAGTGACTAAAATTGAAGAACACTTCTCAAATGGTTAAACATTTGATATATCCATATGTGTATGCAAATACTCACACTTATATGTTCTACATAAATTCATGTTTACAAATACATATATATGCATATACATGCATTAGATAATAAGGACTGATGCAAATCCTCACACATGGCCACTAGAAAGTACCAGTGAACGTTTCCACGTATTAACACTTACATTGTTGACACCTATATTCACAGTGGACAGCAGTGTCAGTTAAAAAAAACAGTAAGAACATACTTTTCCCTGCTTCAGACCCAAAGACCTCCACTGAAGGGCTGGAATCTTTGCCTCACCTGTCCTGGATGATGAAGTACTTTATGGGGTCTGTGGCATTGCTGCTGGGTGTAGCATAGCAGTTAGTCATCACGAGTGCAAAGCGCGACACATCACCCCCATCCAGGATGGTGCCCACGTAGAGAAAGGCTTCTGTGGACAGGGTCACCGAGGAGCCTTGGTAGGGCTGCGTGTAGGTAGCATCCTGGAAGAGCGCCATCTGCACGGTGAACATGCCTGTCCCTCCCATGCTGATGTTCAAGGAACTGCAGGGGAAGAGGAGTTGGTGGAGAAGTGGCAGGGGACATTCAGATCGGGGCCACCCTTTCTTGTCAGCGTTCTTGGGCAGTGCCTTACCATTATGTGCATTTGGGTGCAAAAAACAGGAGTGGGTCCCACCAACCACCACTTGGCACACTGCAGTGTGCACACTTGGGTCACCTCAGGATTTGGTGGAAATGCAGGCTCTGGCTCAGCGGGCTTGGGATGGGGCCAAAGCACTAAATTTCCAACAAGCTCCTTGGTGATAATGCTAGCAACCTTCCCTGGGTGGTCATCACTACCCATGTAACCTTCAAGATGGAGCAAACAGCTCCTTGAAAAAATTACGCAATCTCCTTCTTTACGCTCAACCTGGAACAGGTGAAGAGGAATGAGCAGTTATGAACCTCCCAGGTCTGTGTCCTGGCTGTCTCATGAGAGATTGGGCTCATAAAGGGTCATCTCTAACACCACTAAACACAGCCACACCAATATGGATTTCACCAGATGAACTCACACAGGACATTGTCCAACTGACACTGCACAAAATAGGGTCCAGCCAGATGGCTATTAGCTTACAGGTGAGGCTGGATTTTGCTGGGACAAAATCTCCAAGTCAATCTAGATCTAGTGTTGTACCCATGAGTTGCCCCTAGAGCATAGCCCCTAGTGATGCTCCAGCCAAGGCCTACACTGAGCAAGCTTCTTCACCCCAACCCCAGCCAGCCTGGTGCTACACTGCCCTTCCCTGAGTCTGATGGGTGCAGAGAACATAAAAACACAGGCAAGTTTCAAATGGAAGGCCATGGTAGGCTCAAGGACTGGTTGTGAATCCTAGCTCTGCTCCCATCTTGGGACAGCCTTCTCTTAGCTTCAGTGCCACACCAGAACTGCAGGAATTCCACCACCAATCATGCCTGCACTTCCCAGGGTTGCTGCAAGATTGTAGTAAATGTGCTGTGGGGAGTACCAGGCTTAAGGCTGACATACAGCAGCACTCAGCAAATGCCATGGATTATGGCAATTAGGTTTTTTTTTTTTCCAGCCATGGCTTCTGATTCATCATCCTGAAAGACAACTTTATTTACCAAAGAGGGTATTCTTTAAGAAAGAGAGAAAGATATCAAGCCTCCCACACTTGCTGTGGGTGGAACCTCTCTTCTTCATCCCCCAAGTCTGCGCCTAACAAGGCACCTCAAAAGAACAGGATTTGCAAACACCTCTTTAATCAAGCTGCTTCAATCGACAGAGAAAGAGGAACCTGAGGTCCACACATGAGGTTGCAAATTATCCAAAACCCCTTAGCAGGTGGAACTGAGAGCTAACTGCTTCCCTCCCCTCTGAAAAGCCAGAGACACTACAATCTGATTTGTATCTATAGATGGCTTCTTGTTATCCTAGGAAAAGTAGAATTGAGAATCAATAAACCCATTTCACAAATGAAAGGACTGACAGCCAGAACAAAAAGAACTTTTCAGAGCCATCTGGTTAGCACATGACCCAGCCTGCACCAGGCTCTAGGAGGGGCAGCTGGGCTCCTACACTGGGCAACCCTGACACCAAGCCCTGACCACCAGCATCCTAAGGGCGGCAGTTGTCAGGGTTGTGAAAGACCTCATTGGTAAGGGAGTATTGAACAGAGCCATCCAGGGGCCCTGGGAACTCTGTCCTGCCACACCTGACCACAGGATGTAAGGTTGTCTTTAGGCTGACTTTCATGTCCAGGGGGTAGGAGCAGGTAAAGTTGATTTTGATGTTGTAGTCACGGATGATGATCTCATCGGACAAGTAGAGTATGTTGCTGTAGGTGGCATGGGTGGCATTCCTCTGTGCAGAAGGAACAGGGGTAGGAGAGAAGTGTGTGAGAACTGGAGTCGGATTGCTAAGACAAGCAGTCTGTCTCTCTCACCTGTCAGCTGCCCTCCCAGTCTTGGTGATAAAAAAAATGACAACAGTGACCACATGGGAACACATATCCCACTTTAAATTCTGAACTTGATGTTCCTTCTGCAGCAAGGCTTGGACCCTTTGAGGACCCTGAGAAGCCAAGTCACCTCACTCCTACATCATGGGGCATCTCATGCGCCTGGGCTCTTTCCATTGCTGCATGCTTCCTCTCTCCAGGACTGAAGAGCCTGATTGTCACGGATGGAACTGCAAACACCATCCTCAGCAGGTGCAGATGAGTCATTTCTGTCTTCCTCCCTTTGTTTTCCCTCTTTTTTCTTGCAAGGCATTTAAGATGCAAGAGGAAACAGCCCTTCACTCATGCAAACCTTTAAAAAGGTCCATGGACGAGAGGACCTGGTTCTCCAAATGCTAATGACAACAGATCCTGCCTCCCCTGACCACCAAAAACACGCAGACCTGCTTCTGAACCTGGCATTGATACGTACTTGCTGGGAACCACACTGCCATCCAAGCTTGACTTTCCCCATCTGTAAAATGGGTGCCTACCACCACAGCTTGCTCTCTCTGTCCTTTTCTGAGACCTCTGCCCCAGTTCTGTCCTGATCACCGTAAACACAGGAACCCATGTGATTTTCTCAACACCCTTACAGTGTAGGTCTTACTAGTTTCCCTTTATATAGTTGAGAAAATTGAGATGCAGTCAAGCTAAATGACTCCCCCAGCTCCTACCACCCTAAGAGGAGGAGCTGGGATTCGAACCAGGCTGTGTACCCCCTGGTCTGGACATACCGTCATCACAGTCCCGCAGGGGCCTTCCTGGGTTGGAGTCACGATGGACATCCAGTCCCGGACGCCTCTCTCCTCGAAGCCAGAGCACTTGCTGTCACGTAGGTACATGAAGATCTTCTGGAACCCCAGGCTCCTCAGCTGGCACTTGCTCAGTGACACCTTGATGTTACTGACTCCACACTCCACCTTGTGCTCCAGCTGTCTAAGATCTGGAATAGTCAGGGAGCATGGTTGAGGGATTGGTGGGGGGAAGCTGTGGCTGGAGCTCAAGGGTCTAGCCCACACTCCCAGGAGCCTGGCAGAGCTGGCTGGGCTGGCGGGCCAGCTGGGGTGCTCTAAGCATCTTGGCTTGCAGGTATCAAGACAAAAGACTGAACTCTGAGCATGTCTGGGTGAGACCAACCAGCCAGCCCCAACTTCCCTATGCACCGTACCAGTGTCACAGAATGCTGAATCTCAGCTTTTTCCATAAAAAGGAAAAGTCCCATCACTCCTTGCTTGTTGTGAATTCTTTTATGCCACTTACTGGTTGATTTTCCTTTTAGATAGTAAACCTCAGATTCAGAGTGTGGGAGAGACTACAACATCCAACTAAAATTGTTTAAGGTATCTTTAAATGGAAGTCTTTCATCTTCAATATTTATTTTTAATCATTTTATTAAGGTATTGTACTGCTGCTAGAAAGGATAATTCTGCTTTCTTATCCTACTTATTTTATACTTTTTCCTGCTTTCTAAAAACGTATTTTATTTATATACACTGAACAATTCCATGTATTTCACCACACATAGCAGAGTGATGCTTTACTTTTTAGCTAACCTCCCATCTAGCACCATAGAGAGCATTTTAAACTTACTTTGAAGAAGAAAAGATTCCATTTGAAGACAGCCAAGTGTACACCCCACATCACCGTGCAGATAGGTGGGGCTTGGACAGTGCACAGTTGTAAAGGTGGCGTTTGCACCTGGCCAAAATGGGGACTGCCACGTGGGAAATATTAGTCACCTTCAACAATCAGACATGTGAGGGAACTGAGACAGGGTGCCAAGTGGCCAGCGGTCCCGTGTTATGGTGCTGTGGGAATGTGACTCGGGCAGCGTCCCAGGCTCCCCTGGTTCCCTGCTGGCGTTGCCAGCTGTCCGTTGCCAGCCAGACTTGTGGCGGTGCGTGCAAGCATAGAGACTCAGTGAATTGGAGACCTACCCCCTAGGCCTCACCCTCGCGACCCCCATCTCACACACACATTGTGGTTTCGCCCAGTCGGACTGCGCCCTTCCTCCCCACCCCAACACAATGGCCTCACTTGTGATGTTGTCCTGTTTGCACTGGCAGTGCCACCTGCCGTTGTCAGACTTGCAGTCCTCGTCAATACCGCATTCCTCACACGTTCCCTCCACGGAGGTGGGGTCTGCGGGGTCACAGGGACAGACGGGCAATCAGCAAGGGTGCGCCCAGCCCCCACGCCATGCCCATGTGGGGTGAGGAGGGGTGGGGAGGGGTAGGGGATGGTGGGGAACCGCCTGATTCACCTGTGCAGTATGCCAGGTGGCACTCAGGGGCTGGTGTCAGGTTGTAGACGTAGTAGCCGCCAGTACAGGCCTTCACCTGGATCTGGGTGTGCCACAGACAGCAGTTGCCACTCCAGTGCGCGCAGGCCAAGCGGGTCACAATGCCCTCGTTGCTGGACGGGTGAGAGCCGTTGAGCCACATGGGTGCAGCTGTATTGCAGCGCAGCGAGGGCACGCAGGTCTCTGCCAGGCGCACGCCACCGTGGCCCACAAAGCGGTACCAGCCATTCAGATCGGTGTCGCAAGAATAACCGGTCCCGTAATGGGAGCTGCGCCAGTACTGATCCAGGGTGCTGTACGCCTGGCATGGATCAACGCAAACATGCTGGGTGCCCTGGAGCAAGCATTCCAGCCCATGGCCGCAGGAGCCTGGCGAGCATTCACAGTTGAATCCGTCCCCAAGGTAGCCCTCTGGACACACGCAGGAGTAGTTGCCCTCGCTGTTGACACAGGTGGCCAAGGCGTGGCAGCGGTTAAGACCTGGCTCCTTACACTCATCTATATCTGTGCAGCCTTGCCCGGGCGTCTCGCGGAAGCCGTCGAGGCAGACACATGTGTAGGAGCCCTGCGTGTTGACGCAGCTGCTGTTGGCGGAGCAGTTGTGTGCTCCTGGGCTGGCGCATTCATCCAGATCCGAGCACTGGAGGCCATTGCCGGTGAAGCCCGCCAAGCAGGTGCAGGTGGTGACCACCCCGTCCTCCAGGCAGGTGGCATTGCTGTGACATTCAAAGCATTCTCCTGGGGACAGAAGAGATGGCAGGCTCAGAGCTCTGGCAGCCAGTAGCTACCCAGAGAGTCCTGCCTCGCTCACCACCCCCCCCCCCCAGGAACTCACACTCTAAAAATTGTAAAGTTTGGGGCCCAGTGGTAGCCTAGTGGCTAAACCCTAGCCTTGCATATGCCAGATCCCATATGGGTGCTGGTTTGTGTCCCAGTTGCTCCACTTCCCATCCAGCACCCTGCTCATGGCCTGGGAAAGCAGTGGAAGATGGCCCAAAGCCATGGGTCCCTGCATCCACATGGGAGACCAGGAAGAAGCTCCTGGTTCCTGGTTTCAGTTCAGCTCTGGCTAATGCAACCCCTTGAGGAGTGAGTCAGCAAATAGAAGATCTTTCTCTCTGCTTCTCCTCTCTGTAAATCTGACTTTCCAATAAAAATAAATAAATCTTTTTTTAATTGTAAAGTTTGTTTTCATTCTGTTTCAAAGTTAGTAAAAGGCAGAGAAATTTCTATACCACTGGTTTAATCCCTAAAAGGCCCACAACCTCCATAAAACCAAGAGCCAAGTATATAATTTGGGTGTCCCTGCCACACATACTGCAGGTGACAGGACCCAGCCATTTGAGTGCTCACCAGCTGCTTCCCCGCCAGATGCACTTTACCAAGCAACAGGTTGGGAAGCAGAGGAACCAGGAGACAAACAAGGCACTTGGACACAGAATGCACATGTCCCAAGCCATGTTTGAACTATCGTTCCATTGTCTGTCTTCGTGCTCTTTAAAATTTATTTCTGGGACCAGTGCCATGGTGTAGTGGATTCAGCCTCCACCTCCAGTGCTGGCATCCCATGCAGGAGCCAGTTCGATCCTGGCTGCTCTGCTTCCAATTCAGTTCCCTGATAATGTGCCTGGGTGGGCAGTGAAAAATGGCCCAAGTCCTTGGGCCCCTACACCCACGTGGAACACCCAGAGGAGGCTCTAGACTCTTGACTTAAAATACACCTCAGCTCCAGCTACTGTGTAGCCATTTGGGGGAAATGAGCCAACAGATGGAAAGTCCCTCTCCCTCTGTCTCTTGTTCTCTTCCTGTAAATCTGCCTTTCAAATAAAAATAATCTTTTTAAAAGACTTCTTAGCTGATTCTCTTGATAACAAATAACTCTCCCCACTTCACCCCACCTGATGATGTCCACACTCCTGGCATTCATTCCTTAGTGCTAAATGCTATTTTCAAGTTGAATCTTGTAAAACAGCCACAGTCCCACATGCACAGGGAAAAAGCACAGGATTCCTGCACTTGGGCAGGATCGATGGTGAGCTTGCTGCCCTTTCCAGCTGCAACATTGTGCTGGTGTCTGCTCAGCTCCCTTCTTTGGGGGGGATTTAGGAAGCTGCTGGCCTTTGGGTGAAGAGCCAGCAAGCCCGAGATGTGATCCAACCCCTTTGTCTCCCTCATTAGGGAGCCCCGAGACCTCAACATCTGCATCCCCTGGAAGCTGGTCAGAAATGTAGGGTCAGGCCCCACGCTGAGCCTCTACTGAACCAGAATCCACATTCTGGCAGCATTTCCAGGTGAGTCCTGCACACAGTACTAAGTCTGAGAAGTAGACTTGGAACCAAGGCTATGCAAATCACAAATGAGACAGGAGAGGAGCTGGGGCTATTTTTGCAGAGGGCAGCAGTGTTTGCTGTATGTTTACACACACACACACACACACACACACACACACACACACACACACACACTTACTTGCTTCCGAGCTGTCCGCCATAGCAGTAATGAACCAAGAAACCACCATCACCATCTTCGGTATCCGGGACAGGGTAAGCAGCCGCCCCATCCTTTCTGGTTTTTTTTTTTTTTTGTTTTTTTGTTTGTTTGTTTGTTTGTTTGTTTGTTTTTTGCAGCTACTTCTTTCTGGAATGGCTTTGCCCAGTCTCTGACTCCTGGAGCCCTGGAATCAGAGATGGATGGCACCCATGCATGAGTAAGCTCTCCTCCCACAGTTGGGAGGGACTCTCCATTTTGAGACCACCCACCCCAAGATGCCAGTTTTGTGGATCACAGAAACTGTGCAGTAATGCAGCTTTGATGGGGCATCCCACGCTGTAGCCCCTCCTTACTTTCAACCATCACCTGGCATGGCTTCCCAATTCTTAGCACATTGAGATTTTGAAGTGTGGAGTCAGTTGAAGCAAGAATAGCAAAATAAGGGTAACATTATTCAAGGGAGCCTGCTTGAATTTTAACAGTCAGCTCTTAATGTCCTACCTGGAAGAGCTCAACTACCTCAATTCTCTTGTCTACCCAACACTCACTTGCTGATAAGCTACTGTTTTTAAAACAAGGGGCTGGGCCACAAAGTTCCAGCTTTCATGTAATTCACATACTGTAAAACATTGGCTTGCAATGAGCAACTACAGAAGTAATTCACTTCCACAGTGTATGTTGGTTCTAATGGTATTTTACCCCACTAGCAATCCTAAGTAAATGTTAGTTTTGCCCCAATTTTTATAGCAGCAAAAATAAATTCATATAGTGGATGAAAGTGTAGGAACTGGAGTCTATAACAAGGATTCTAATTTCCATTTTCCTAATCATTAACAGTGTGACATTTGGCAAGATAGTGTAGTTCTGAATTATGGCTCAGTTTTCCCATCTATGAATTAGAGACCAACTCAAAGAGACTTCTGGGCTAAAGAACTTGTGTTCTAGAGCGCTATTTTCAAGATCTTTGTAACCACAATGAACCAGAAGGAAAATATTTGGTGTCATGATCCAGTGCTATCTCTCTGGCACATGTGCTCATGCGCACATACATGTGAAATACAAGTCTTCTAAAATAATACATCCTTAGTGTGAACTTGCTTGTTGCCCCACAGTCTATTCCATTAAAAGCAAAATTCTAAATATAACCCACAAATGGAATGACTTCCTGAACCACCATTGAGGTGTGATGATAGTTTTTAAAATCATAGTAGTAACTGAATATATATTGTTGTCCCTAGATTCACTAAAACAATATCTGTGACAAAAGGCCTAGCACATTCCAAGTACTTCACCAGGCCCTGTACCTGCTACATACTAGGTCCTTCATAATGTTCATTGACTGCATAGAAAATAGTAATCATTGCGATTAGGAAAGTTTAGGCTCACTGACAGGGAGGAAGGCTGACCTACCAAAGACCATAAAGACAATGACCAGCAAAGTAATGACCTAGTGCAGTCCCGACTCCAATCTGTAAACTCTTAATTTCCTCTCTCCCTCCCCCTTCTCAAATAGAGTGGAAACCAACAAAAGATTAGAGGGAGAAGCAGCTAGGCTAGGAGAAGACAGCTACAGGCACTTACCTGGAGCCAGGAGGATCGAAGTGGCCTATTCACAAGTGCAGGTCTGTTATATATACGTACCTGTGCCCTTGGTGAGCATTTTTTCCTCCCGTGATTCTCCAGTTCTGTTTCTTGAGACTATTTCCTTGGGGGTGGGATATTTGTTTGCCTTTGGCATAATGTTTGCCTTTTTAGACTAAGGTTGTTGTTCTTTCTCCTAATAGCTAAAGACCCCAGATGATTGACATGATGAGGGGGGGTCACACCTGTGCCTGGAATTTCAAGACCTTTGTTTTGCCCCCTTTGGCAGCAAGAGATTCCATAGTTAGAAATTAACTGGCGAAGCAGTGCCAAGGTGTTGGGCTTTTTCTTGGTCACTGACAAGGGCAGGGTAGGCCCAAGGAGATTTGGGGTCTGAAGCACTGGAATGAAAGAGGTACTCATTGCGTCTGTTGAGTTGTGCACACACTGCCTCCCTTCTTAAGGGCCCAGGCATGAATGAGAGAGGATCTGAGAATGGCTCAACATCGAAGCCAGATCATTCAGACACCATTAGACTTGATACACTTTGTGAGATAAGAGATCTGAGTTCCATCAAGGAACTAAACACATCGTTACTTAGTCTGAATCCTGGAGACTCCTGTATTGTGTGACAAAAGGTTTATTTCTTAGTCTCCTGAAGTCATTTTCCTCATCTGTAAGTTGAGACTACCCAGCTCCCAAAGTTCTCATGGTTAACAGGAGCTGATGTAAGTAAAGACAAACAGTGATGAGTCTATGGGTTGACGCCTTTCAAATGCTGCCTTGCTGATGAATAGTCACTTGGGCAAATGGTGACAATGTTTGATTAAGGTCCACATGGGCGGCAATCAAAATTCAATGCAAGAGTGGATGTCATCCTGCTTACAAAAAAAATCAAGTGTGTTGCACTTGGGCTAAGTAGTAATTAGAGTCGTGACCATGGCCTTGACATTTTCAGGACTTCAACTGCCTCATCTACTGCTGGGATAACCGCCGGCACTAGTGCAAGTGATTTTACCCCAGAAGGATTTTTCCTTAAATCAGATCACACTCCCACCTACAGCACTCACCAACCCTGAGCATTGTTTATCTTTGCCAAGCTCTGTCTCTTCCTGCCAAATTCTCTTTGTCTGCTCAGACTTACTTTCTTTTCCAGAAGCATATGTCAGAACCCCCTTGCTCACTTTTGCAGTTGTTGAAAACGACATAATCGTACCCTTGTTTGTGAAGGATGCATTCTTCTTTTCTGAGCCAGATGTTTAGATACCTTTATGGGTAACAGGGCCTGTTAAAACCCAGGCTGGACATCCCTAAAGGATGGCAAGGTGGGGCCTCCAAAGGGTTTCTGAAATTCCTTGCCAAGGAAAAAGGAAGTTAGAGCTTGTTCACAAGTAGATTAATTATGCTTTCTAGTTTCTGCACTTAATGCTTTCACATCTTTCACCTCATTGACCCTGGAGAGAATGCCCCTTTTAGAGCTCACTATTCCTTGCAGATGACCTACAATTTACTTGCAATTATGCAAAGCAACCAATGGGAGCCCACCAACCAACTGCCCAGTGAGGATTATGAAACTTTCTCTCTCTAAGCCACTACTGCTCTAATCACCTCTCTGGGTCAGCACCATGACCTAAAGCCCACAAAATTGGAACTGCCCTATCCTAACCCCACCTCTCCCAGCCCTCCACTGCAAAACACAATGGCCTTCACTCCCTTTTCTCTCCATGCCGAGTGCCTTTTCAACCTCTATGGTACAAGTGGCATGCTCCATTCTCTCAGGATTTGTGAGTATAGCAACTATCTTTTCCCTGGTGTTGTCTCCTCTCTTGCTCTTGCTGTCATACTTACATAGCAATAAAATCTACCTTTTCAAACAATAAGCACAGAGGTGGGGTTGTGCCGCAGTGGATTCAGTTGAGCCCCAGTTTGAGTCCTACCTACTCTGCTTCAATCCAGTTTCTTGATAATGTTCCTGGGCAGGCAATAAAAGACAGCCCGGGTGCTTGGGTCCCTGCCACCTTTGTGGGAGATCAGCATGGAGTACCAAGCTCCTGATTTCAGCCCAACCCATCCTGGGCTGTTGTGGCCACTTGGGAAATTAACCAGCAGAAGGAAGATCTCTCTCATTCTCCTCTACCTCCTCCTTTTCCTCTCTTCTCCCTTGGTCATTCTGCCTCCTAAAACAACACCTTTTAAAATAAGTAATCAAACACCACATTCCTTCAGCATAGCTGGATCACCCTGTGACATTTCTCTAGTTGGCCACTTCCTCTTTTTCTTTTCTGACTTCCCCAACCCTCTGGCCGGCCCCACATACTGAATCCTCATGGTGCATTTCCCTGGTGCCACTAAGTAATGCCTCTCTCCTATTCTTGGTCGGCCTGCATCTAGAGGCATCTTCCACATGCCCTCTTTCTTTGGGGTGGGGCAGAGTCCTTTCCCTGTGTGCTCTGGTGACATTTCCTTCTCACCTTCACTCTTTCCTTAGCCCTGGCTATTCTCTTCCATCAATCATTCTACAGAGACCCTTGTTGATCTGCCCCACTGTTTCGTTTTCTCTTTTCATAGCCAAATATCTCAAGAGTTGTGCACACTACAACTCATGCCAGTATGCTGCCTGCATTGCTTATCAAGACCACCAAGGAAGGAGTCTCCATGCCAAGTTTAATCAACTGTGCTCTAACATACTTCCAGAGCAGTAAATATGTGCTTTTAAACAAATCCGACTCAATCTCTCCACAGCTTCTGCATTCTTGATTTAAAGTTTGGAGATTTGGCCCTAATAATCTTGGCAGTTGGGCCCAGGATGATAGCATAGCGGTTAAGGGCCTCGTCTTGAATGCCCCAGGATCCCATATGGATGCCGATTCTAATCCCGGCATCCCTGCTTCCCATCCAGCTCCCTGCCTGTGGCCTGGGAAAGCAGTTGAGGACAGCCCAAGACTTTGGGACCCTGCACCTGTGTGGGAAACCTAGAGGAGGCTCCTGGCTTCAGATTGGCTCAGCTCCAGCTGTTGTGCTCACTTGGGGAATGAACCATCAGGTGGAAGATCTTCCTCTCTGTCTCACCTCTCTGTCTCTCCTCTCTGTATATCCACCTTTCCAATAAAAAATCTTTTTTAAAAAAATAATCTTGACAGTTATTTTTGAGCATCCCTGTTGTATCAGACACCTCTCAGTGCTTTAACATTGTCTCCAGCAATGAAACCCATAGTACAGTGAAGAAAAATTTAGAGATGTTGAAAAACTTCCACGAGATTACACAGCTAGCCAGAGTAACTTCAAACTAAAATCCAATTATTATTCCTGTTTACCTCTATAATATCCTGCTTTCCTATGGAGGCAAAGAACATTCCATGTTGAACCATGAGAAGCATTCAGCGTGACATGTGGTTTTATGTCTTTTTCCAAAGAGGGAAGCAAAAGGATGCAGAATTTTGGAAAATCCATTGATGTATACACCAACAATCAAAATAAGAGCTTGGGTTGTGGTGGGAACGGACAGGAAATGAGCACAGAGAGAAGATGCTCCCCATACAGGGGTATTGCCAGGTCTACCTACCCACCTGGACTACTCTCCCCTATGTAAGCCCCAACTTTCCCGAGGCTCCTGTTCAAGAAGGGGACCTGCAGGAGACACACATGTCCTCTGACTCATAGGCAGCCTGTTGGGGGCTCTGTTTCATGTGATTTAGTCTCAACAGCACCTCTGGACCTCTCCTTCAACTGGCAACCACGTGGCCTGAACAGGTGAGGCTTGCACCGTGTCCTGAATACTAACACCTGCTCCTGTTGGGGCATTTGGCTCTGGCAAGTTCCAGGGCCCCAGGCTGTTCCTTGCTTCATCTGGCTGTGGACAGTCCAAGTTGGGGGTGGGGGTGGGAAAGGGCATGGTGCGTGGGAGCTGGCTCCAGAGATTTGAAGACAGCACAAACACCTTTGTTGAACATGACGAGTGGGAAATGGAAAGGCCAAGTTGGTTTGTGAGACCCCTATGCCTGCTCTCAAGTGGCCTTATTGACTGGCTGACAAAGAGCACAAACTGGTGGGGTGAGTGTGGGGCAGGTTGAACAAAGTCCTATGAGGATCTCTACATCCAAGTTCCTAGAACCTGTGAATGTTTCCTTCCACAGCAAAGGGGACTCTGGAAGTCTTGTCCAGATGAGGAGATGGAGAGGTAGCCTGGGCAAGATGGGTGCATTCACCAGGGTGCTTCTAGGAGAGCTTCTGGAGTACGCACAGCCACAGGAAGTGGGAAACGAGAGGATGAGACCAAAGGAGTGACTCCGTGGCAGAACCTCAAGCCGAGGAGTTCAGGAAGCCCCTGGAGACCAGTTTTTCCAGATGGGAGCAAACCTGGCAACACCTTGACTTCACCCCCAGTGCAAAGGTCTTCTGATTTCTTCCCTTAAAAACACTAAGAAAATCAGTATATATATATTTTAGTCATTTGTGTTTATTTATCAAAGCAACAACAGGAAATGAACAGAAAATCCTGTGTGTGTCAGGGGACGTTATCTGCACTCCCCCATTTTGGAATGACTGTGAAATCATGAATCTTGGAGGGCTAGAGTGCTGCCTGGTATGAAACAGTCTACTTGATCCACTTACATTAACTGAGCATCCAATATGTACAAAGAAGTAGGTTATATATTGGGAATTCAGCAAGAAATAAAAGATAAATGATTATCCTTGTGGGCTCCCATCTGTGGGAATGTAAGCAACATATCATAGCACAGTGAAATAGTAAGATCCTTCCAGACACTACTATCCAGAAACTGTTTCCAAGATAAGCTGGGATTTAAACAATGCAAAGCACACAGCTTCATGGAGATCTCAGGGAGGTATTTGGATGTAGGGGAAAAACAAGGGATTGGGGAAAAAGTTGATTGTTCAAACAGAAGACAAGAATGGGGAGGCTGGAGTCCAGGCAGCGATGGTGAGAGAAGAAAACGATATCCTCAGGGCTGGACTTCTCCATACCTTGAAGGCATGGTAAGCTGACTGGATTTTATTCTGAAAACAGGAAAAGGCCATTACAGGATCAAAGCAAGGTAGCCCTCGCAGGTACAGTTTTATAAGATCATCTTAGCAGTTTTGCCAATAGAATATGGGGGTGGAGGGAGTATAGAGAGGTAGCAAAGACCAATTACGAGATGTGTTCTGAGCTGAGGAATGGCAGGTCATTCAGTAAAGATGGCATAGAATGGCTGGAGTCATCTGAAGTGAAGTGGGTGGAGTCCCATGGACAGGTCAGTTGTCTCCATGGTAGTAAAAAAGAAAGGAAGAGGAGTCATTTCTCAGATGTGCCTGGAAATGGGTGTGGGTGGATATATTTTGTGTGTGTGTGCCAAAATTCAGCATCAGCAAGTCAACCTGCCTTACCGCAAAGGTTTAGCCAAACTGTCATCCCCACTCTGGTGATAGCACAATGGTTAAGAGCACAGATTCTGGGGATAGAGTGTTCCTGGGATCTATGCAGTGGGGAATCTACACAAGGGGCTCCAGCAACACAGTGAGATGCATGCCCAGCATGCTGTGGACAAGAGTATTTGTTGCTATTGTGATTTCCCATAGGAACATACAACTCTCCTAAGGCACCACCAATTATGGTGACTCAACAAGGTCCAAAGACATTTAAGGGTTTTTATTATCCAGCCCCCTCCCATCCCACCACAATGACAAATACTTTTCGCTGGAGTCGATCCACTCTGGGCACCTGCCCTCATAGCTTTGGAGATATTAAAGTTCTTCCTTGATTGATGGTTTCTTCTCCTGGCTTGGTGGTTCCTCAGGCATGGCCACTTCCTTCTCTGCCTCACTTGTTTCCTTCTGTCCAGCTGGCTCTTCCAATGTGATCATATTCTGCAGTTCAAGTTGCTCAGGTAACTCTGTCTCCACCAAAGGTACCTCCACATCCTCGACCAACACCTCATCTTCTATCACTCTATTTTGATCAACTGACAAGATCTATCACGGAGAATGTGGAAAGAGGAGGAGAGGGGCAGAAATAATAAATTCCACTATATAATCATAAAGGAGGTCAAATATGTGACAACTGTAACCATCAAGACTCCTTGATGTGCCTAGAGAAAATGTCTTTGTCCTGGAAAGTTCTTGTAGATACAAACAAAGCTCTGACTTTCTTTCAAATAAGTCAACATTCTAAAATCCCACCCAGCATGAGCAGTAAAGTGCTGAAGGGTGATTTGACCTTCTAAGAGAAAGAAGCTACCCTTCTATTCCAAACTGGCACATTTTATCGCTGGTAGTCCTATCTGGGACACAATCATCCAGGGAGCTGCTGCTGGATCTTACCTCCTCTTCCCCTTCTTTCTCCATCCTGATTTTGATGTGGCTTTCCAGGAAGCCAGAGAAGCCTTTCACGGTGTGCTCGCCATCGTACTTAACAGCCTAAGAAAAAAGTGGAGCATGGTCAGGATGGGAGCCCCTCTGGCCAGATACTCAAGAATGGCCACATAGGCAAACCGAGCATCAACTTCCTAGCCATCTGGGTTTGTTGAGCAGATTGCTTAACCTCCCTGAGCCTGTCCTGATATGGCTTTACGTTAAGATACTAAACATTCTTTCTTCGTACAGTTGCAGGGTAGTGAGCCAATGCAAGGACTCTATGGAGTCACATCATCAAGCCCTTATCCTTGGCTGCATGACCTAGTCTTGTGGTCCAGTCGCCTAACTTGCTTGGCATGGTTTCCTCATGTGTGATATGTAGACACCAGCCTCTCACTGTTCTTCAAGGACTGAGTGACTGAATAAAGGTAAAGCATTTATCTCTGCTTGTGACCTGGGAAAGCAGTGGAAGACAGTCCAAGGCTTTGGGACCCTACACCCACACTCAGCAGTGGGGACTTGGTTCACACTTCTTTGACTGACACCCTTCTTCATGTGGCAAAATGGCATGGAGAGTGTGTTCCATCAACACACATGATGGATTGATGACTTCAGTCCCAGCACATGAAAGATATCCTTTGTCTGTCTTAGACATTCCCCTTCCATCTAAAGTGCCCAACCAACACCGCACATGTGGAGATTCCCCCAGTCATATTCCATAGGGTCCCCACGCTTTATCCCCTTGGGACAGAGCTTAGCACTGCTCCTAGAGTGAACTATGCATCCCAGTCCTAACCAATCAAAACACCCACATGCACTTGGCACACAATTGACATAAGTTATACTCAATAGTGGTGAATCCTGGAACTTTGGTGGATACTGCTGGAAAAATATTCTTTAGACTTGAACATAGAGGTTAAAAGGGGCTAGAGCTGAGAATGAACCCAGTTCATTTGATTGAAGGTGGGTAGAAACTGTTTCCCTGATGATAACACAACAACCCATTCAAGTATGTGTCCCCCATAAGAGCCCCTCACTTGTTCAGAGTCAGTGGGGAAAAGCCTGAAGAAGGGATAGCGGTCCTTGAACACTGGCTCAATGTCATTGGCTGTAATGTCAATCTTGGCAATGGTGATGGTAGAGTGATTTTGATATTTGATGCCCAGCTCCTCCAACAGCGGAAACAGCACCTGGCACTTCTCCGACCAAGGGGCATCTGCAAGAAAAAGACCACTGCTCAGGACCATGCAAATGCACACTGTGAAGGCTGGCACCACCACCACGTGCTACTCACGGTCCTGCTGCTTTACAAGTGGTACTCCATCTTTCTCTTAATCCCACAATAATGATTTTTACTTTTCAGTCATTGTACCTGACCATTATTATTAAGAACTTGTTTAACTTGGCCTGGTTGCCCTTATATATGGATACAAAATCTTTTAGGATAGTAACATTTTCTTCCACTCATTGTGGGTCTCACTCTTTTAACATAATGTTCTACTCTGGTTAAAGAAAACCACTAAAAAAAATGTGTGATAGGTGATTCTTCAGGTTCTGCCAAAAACTGTACATGTGTATGCATGTGTGTTACTCACATGAGTGTTCTGATAGAGGTTAAAGCTACTTGCCCAAGGACACCTAGTAATTAAACAGAGGAAGTATGATTTGCTTTGGGTAGTAACCATTGGACAACTGATATAATAACTTCAAGAAGCTCATGAAAAACAGAACCACAAAACAGATTTGTCCTGGTGTAAAGTGATTGACAGACACACGTCAGACTACTGGGTTTCATGCTTAGCTCTGCTTCATGACTCCAGCTTCTTACTGGGTTGTTGGCTCCTGCCATCCACATGAGCTGCCTGGATTGAGTTCCCAGCTCCTACTTCAACACCCAACGCCACTGTGAGCATTTGGGGTATTGGCCAGCAGATGGAGCTCGCTCACCCTCTCTCTCTGCTATTTCTCCCTCTCTCAAATAAACACTTTTTTTTTAATGTTTAAGTTCATTTTGATGATAAAGAATTTTTGAAATCCATGCAAATGAGAGTTCTTTAAAAATGTTATGAAAAAAATGCATCTTATGAAAAACCATATCAACTTCAGGAGGGTTTGTATCAAAATAGTTATCTTTTAATGCTGTGAACTTTGAAGTTCCATCATACAATATACTATGACATAATATTAATAGAATATAACTTCAATGCAGTGGAGGAGAACATGCCCAAAAGAGAACAAGCAAGCTCAAGAAATGTGACAAGTTCAAGCACCCCTGAAAAGGGGATGCCTGACTTTCTTGCAGATATTTCGTTCTCATTTGAATCTGTCCCAGGCTCCTGGCCCTCTGGAGAGAAGTCAGAGACAAACTTCAAATCAAATTTTGCTGGCTCATCCTCGCGCTAAGGCTCAGAGCTTCACATTTCCACCTCTGCGGGAGGAGTGACCCTCAGCACTCTGCCTTTTGATGATCATGCCCCACTTACAGACCAAGGGCCTCCATGGCCCTACCTCCTGCTGGCAGCACCCTTGGCAGCCCTCTAAGGGCCTCACAGACCTGGATAAGAACAGGAGGGGGTCTGATGGCAGCAGCCCCAGGGGGCCAGTCTGACAGCCCTGCTTCCAAGAAAATGAGGCTGCATTTGCCTTTCATCAGAACCTAATGGGCCTTCTGAGAACTCTGGGTGTCAGAGCAGTACAGAAAGGCCACCCCAGCCTGTCATTTAGAGTCAGCAGATGGCAATGATTCAGCCAAACCAACTTGAAATACCTTGTTCTGTGGACAAAAGTTCATCCATGTAGGATTTTCAAAGAGCTTCATGATGTAATGCAGTGATAGCACAGAGTTCGCCTTAAACTTTTTGCCTTGCATATGCTGTGTGACCCAGGGTGAAGCAACAGACTTCTGTGAGGCTGAGTTATCTCATACGTATCCAGGGAAATGCCAGCACACCTTCCTCACAGGCTTGTTGCACAACTCCTGTCAGCAGGTACATCAACAGCAAATTCCTGACTGGCTCCTTTAAAGCACTCAAGAAAGGGTAGCCATGCCTGATCAATACAGGAGGTATCTAAAGCCACTTTAGTGAGAATGTCTTTGACTTTGGGAAATCTGATGATAACTATAATGTAAGTAATAATAACTGCAATAAGAAGTGTCATTTATCAAGTGCTTCCAATATACAAGACGTTGTGCTAAGTCCTGGACATGAAGACTATGGGCTATGAGTAAGTCACAAAAGCCAGAAGAATGGCAATGCTATGCAGTAGGTACAACTGATGGAGGTACAGAGTCACACTGCCTAAGTCCAAACCCAAGTTCAGGAACCTAAGAGCTGTATGATCCTGGGACAGTTTATTCAACTCCTTTAGACTCCATTTACTTACTGATAAAGTGGGAACAAGGATAGTAAATACTTCCAAAAGAATGCTGTGACAATTAAGTAAAATATACAGCGGCTCAATGGGAGGCCTAACATGATGCAGCATCCACTTAAACAATATTAGTCATTAGCACAATTATTGTTAGAAATAGACACAAGCCCTTGTTGTAAGGAAAGGTACTCGATACAGCTCAAGAATTCAGTTTTTAGAGCTACAGTTCAAGGTAGCTAAGAGCATCTCAATCCAATCTTTTTGGGGGTGTGAAGATCGGTTTTGTGCCTCCACAAGATACTTACAGAACATCACAAATACGTCCCTTTCTTTGTCAAAGACAACTAAGTTGAAGTTCTTCCCCACCAGTTGCTTAACCGGCCCTTGGTCCCAGTATTTTGGAATCTCTTCACTGGGTTGATGCCTCTATGGAGAAAATTAGATTCTTAGTGGGGCTCATGACATTAGCATCTGTTAAAAAAAAAATGCTTCCCCCAATTACTCTGGGAATCAAGACCAAGGTTATTCCTATGTCCTATAAAATCCCCATCACATGCTGGTTCCTGACAGCCTCCCCATATTCATCACTATCCTTCGTTTTACTTTCTTTAGGCACTTACAGTCTTCAGTTTATCCAAAGAGCTGATATCCCTCTCACCTTGGAGCTTTGTTTATGCAGTCCTCTCTGCCTGGCACGCCTCCTCAGTCCTGATTCCTACTCTCCCTTCCTTGTCTAGTGTCCTTCACTAGAGAGAGAGAAAGCTAGAGTCTGCAGAGGCTGCCAGGGATAGATACCATGTCCCTGGGAAAGGGCACCCGGCAATGGAGGCACGTGGAGATAAGGTGATCCCAGGCTGTAGCTTGCCTGGAGAGTCTCTATCTACTTCCGTTCTCTGGGAATATTTTTAAAGAATGTACCCTTTCCCCTCCAAAGTGTCTTAGTTCAGAAGATAAATACTATGGTCAACTTACTCATCTGGCTAATTGAGACTATAGCAGGTGCTGCACAGTGTGTGATGTGCTGGGTATGGTTCTTTCTTGAGCCTCTCCTCCTCAGGAACCCCATTTGACCAGAAGTTCCCAAAGCCTTTGAGGCTGAATCCTGTTTGTGCCCTACCATTCCTCCTCCCTGATCCAAGTGTTTATCTACCCTTGAACCAATAGATAAACACATTATAGAGGTGTCAAAGATTCTCCTTTACAAGAATAAATTAGCTCTTCTAAGAGCCTGCATTTTAATTGGAAATTCTTGCAAATAAGTACTTACATTTTTAACTGAAAAATTAATGGTGAATTAATGTGTCACAAATTGGATTGATTCAAGGTGAGGAGATGGAGAGACTCTCCCAACTCATTCTGCCTCCCCATTCAGGTGACCAGAGCCAAGAATTCCAAGAAAGAGTGACTTTCAGGTATAGATCCAATCTCATCCAAGAACAAACTCACCTTGGCATTTTTGCTCAGGAAGTTGCGTCCAAATTTCTTGAGGTTTTGGTAGGTTATATCATCTGAAGGCATTTTGTATCTAACATCTGAGGTTAAGTTGAGGATTTGCACACACGGGAGGTGGCCTTCTAAGACTTGGAAGTAGTCTAGTACACGTCTGTTTCTAGGTTCATCAGAATCCACAAGGATGAACAGGATCTGCCAGATCAAACAAAACATTCATGGCTCTGGATTATTTACCAAACTGGAGAAACTGGTGGAAAAGTGTGGACTGACAGAAGGCAAAGGATGAATCTATAGAGCACTTCTGAAAGAAAATGGAGCAAGGCTTCCCTTCCTTCAGGCAGGCGTGCACCAGTTCCCAAATGCACAACCAGGCTCTAGCCATCAGTCAGGTTTGTGCATCTTTGTGACATGCACCATTGGTACAACTTCAGGACCTCAGGACCCCAATTTCCTTACCTGTAAAAGAGTGATTATAATAGTACTACCTACTATACCTTGTGGGATTGCTGTGAGAATTAACTAAGACAGGGCATATGAGGGCTTAGAGTTCCATTTCTGACTGGCAGGAATCATTCAATACCTGCTAACTCTTACTAGGCTCCACACACAACACTACTCATTCAGCCAACAACTATCCATGGAGTACTTACAACATGCTGGGCATGTTGTGTTACTAAGCACTGGCGATACCACACTGCCCAGAGCAAACAAAAACCCATGCCACATAGTGGAAAGGACAGGCAACAAACACGTAAACAAATTAATCAATGTATGTATCAATGGGTGCCTGTTAAACAATAAAATGAGGCAATGTAACAGAGAAGGTGAGGGAGGAGGAGGAGAGGGGCTCCATGAGAGAGAGATCAGGAGGAGAACATGAGGAGGTGACCTTTTACTGGGATGTAGGTAATGAGTCATAAGTCCAACAACAGTGATTCTGGAAGTAAAACTCATCTATCCAAAAGGCCTAGGGAGGAAACAAACAAAAATGAGCCCAGAATGTCCTAGGAATCAAGGCCAGAGGAATGGGAGCCTAGAGACCTCCACACGGAGGTCAGAAGTCCAGCAAGAAGCTCGGGATTGGTGGGAAATCACTGGGAAGAAAGCGAGTCAAAGAAGCAGCTGATGCTGACTTTGAAAAGGTCAATGTGATGGCAACGAGAGCAGAGGCAGAAAGAGCGGGTAGGGATTGCTGAAGACACCTGGTCTGACACTTGCCGGTCATTCTTCCATCGGAAGTTACAGGGCCCCACAGGTGCTTGCAGGTGCTAAGGAGACTGTGAAAAGCAAAGCAGTCCTATTAAACCATCTTTGTATGATTTTGAGAAACATCAGCTACTTCTCACCTGTTGGGACCTGGAGTATAGAATGAACATGAAAGGTATGGGGCACGTCCTACTGGAACATTAGTGCAGCTGTTTATCTTTGGCTCTAACATGGATTACAATCAACAAAGGGCCTCTGAGAAGCTCACACCTTAGGAGCAACAGAATTTTGAACCTCACCTCTCAATCATTGACAGAATAAACTCCAGCTAGAGTAAAGCATTAAAAAGAAACACCTGGAAGAAAATGTGGTTTGCATTGACCATAGTAATAGGAGGGATGGAGGGATGGCAGCCAGATTGCCATCAATATAATTACATCCAAAATCTGAAAGTGCATATTTGGAAAAAAGAAAAAAAGGACAGTATATTTACAAGAGGTATTTCTGTGGTTGGAATCATCCTTCTTGGAAAATAATGTGATTGGAATGAAGTACAGACATGAAGTAGATTCATTCTTGAGTGGCTTCACTCTGTGTTGATTTGGGGGCTCAAGATTTTTAACTTTTAATTTCAGAATAATTTTCTTCAAAAAAATCCCTGCCATTATTATATTCCTTTAAAAAGAGAGATAAAAATAGCTATGTAGTTCCTATGGCCCAGTTGGTGGCAATCACATTAAAGATAAGGAGAAAGCTTAAGAGAAACTGGTTTGTTTCTAATGATAGCAATGACTTCAATAAGCAGCAGCCCAGTTAACTGCATTTTGCCAACAGTGTAGACTCTCTCTTTCTGCAACTTTGTTTCATACATGAAGAGATGTGATTAGAGATTAATAAGTTCGCCAAGATAACATGTTTAAGTGGAACAGAATTCAAACTCATGTCTCTGCAATAGTAAAACCTAGACCTAGGGCAGGTGTCTGGCACAGCGGTTAAGAAGCCTGCTTGTCTTCCACATTGGAACACCTCGGTCCCCAGGCTCAGCCCTGACTCATGACTCCATATTCCTATTGATGCACATCCTGAGATAGCTCACATTGACTAGGTTCTTGCTACCCACGAGGGAGATTCAGAATCAGTTCCTAGTTCCTACCTTTGACCCCAGCCTATCTCCAGCTGTCCCAGGCATTCGAGGAGTTCATCAACAGGTGGGAGTGCTCTCCCTATCTCTCTCTTCCTCCCATATCCCCTGTCTCTAATACCGCTTCTTAAAACTTAACTTTCTCCAAAAAGCCAACATTTCATCAACTGCTTACCAGGCCATCTGTGTTGCTTCATGCTTTGAGGTTCCTCCCTGACCTCAGGCTAAGGTGATCTTTCTCCACTCACCCTCCAAGCCAAGGTGAAGACCACACTGCATTTACTCACTGTTGAGTGGAGCAAGAGCCATGAGAAAAAGCAGCCAAACTATCAAGATCCAACAGTAGACATAAATAAGAAGATGAGAAAGGAAGGATCACGGGTGTGGGAGTAGGGGAGAAAGAGCCACTGTTCAGAAAGAATAGAGGAGGCTGGTTTAAAATTAAACAGTCAATTGCTCCCAAAGAGCAATGGCACATTCTGCAAACCTTGTTCTGGAATTCCTTCGACGTATGCCTATAATGCTGCATTATGACACCAAATGACTCAGAGCTTCTGGAGGCAAACAGCAACATGTGATTCAAGACATGCAGCTCGTAGATCAAGTCCTTATTCTGAAATGGCAAGGAAAATTTGTCACTTTAGGAACACACAGCTGTCCTGGCTACCCATCTTCAAGGGGGTTCCTTTGCTCACTGACCTCGGTATTATATTCAATGACCAGATCTGTAATTTGCTGCTTAATGACTTGATTGAGGTCAAATTTGTTGGTATTGTCATTAATAAGCTCTTGGCGTTTCACAATTTTCCCCTTGGACACAAGAAGAAAAACATTGGAAGGAGCTACTGTCCATCGTAAAGGCTCTTACCATATATACATAGCACCATTTTTCCTTAAATAAAAGAAACACACTGAGGAATGGTGACAGGTATAACCCAGCTACTTAATACAGACATCTGGACAGAGGAGCCTGTGGGCAGGATGCAGGTATGAGACTCTAGGTCTACAATGACATGGAGTACAAGTGCCTGACAACCTGAGCTATGGTGCTCCAAAATTCTTCAAACTATCTGTGCCAAGGCTGAGATGTCAATGGCTGAGGGCAGTATGAAGGGAAACCCACACTTTCCAGAACTTCACTGCCATCAAAGCCGCTTCCACTAAACCTACCTTCCTTCTACAGAGTCTGATCTTCGCTAGGCTGTGTAGGCTCTCTGGGTCTCCCCTAGATTTCTGCTTTCCTTCTGAGGCATTTTTCTTAATAACTTGCATTTCTAATGTTGCTTACGGCCTCTCAAGAGGAACTGAACTAATACAAGGAATGATATAATTCTCTATAACTCAGGATCAAAGTCTGTGGGTGGAGGAAAAAGGAGGTAACCGTCTTCTGTTTTCCATCTCCTCTTCATTTTCACCAATCCCACCCTGACACAACATGTACTCCCGAAGGAGCCTTCTGCCAGTCTTCAGCTTCTTCCCTTGCTTTCTTCTGACCTACTGTATCACTTCAGAGTGACAGTGTCAGAACACAAATATGGCTATGTTTTTATAATCTTGCTTAAACACTTCATAGCCTCAGCTGTTTTCTGGATAATGTCGACCCATTAATGATCCAGTGAGCTTTTTAGTTCTTGAGTCTTAGTTCTAGGCAGGTCATATGGACTAGTTCATTTATTCCTCATCATATTTCAATAAACTATATACTATTACTTGCTCCATTTTGAAGATGAATAAACTTATATGTAAGAAATTTATCTTAGAAAAGGGAAGTAATGTGCTCAAGATTCTGAGTGACTGAAGAGATTTAAGCCAGGATTGCCATCCAGGCAACCTGACTCTAGCACTACCACTGAAATACAAAAATCTCAAAAATGATTTTTTTCCCAATATTATATCTAGCTTTTGATTTTTCCATGGTGTTTATTCAGTAGACTGGCTAAAGCTTCACATGGAATTTAATTTGGTATAAGGAAAGATAAATGGAGCTGGTAACAAAACAAGCTATTTGCTCAATAACAACATATTTTCCCTACTCATCCACACTGCCGCCTTCCTCATCTACTAAATTTCCATTTATGTTTGAATGTGCTTCTGCACTCAATGCTGTTCCACTTTAAAGCACAAATCAGATCATTTCATTGCTTAAGACCTTTCAATGGTCTCTGTGGGTCCAAGAAAAACAAAAAAGTGGCTCAGAACCTTTGTTGAAAGTCGGGCACACCGTAGGGTCATTCCACCTGCCTCACATGTGGCCATGGCCGAGCAGCCTCACCTCTCGGTGGTCTCTGTAAGTAGCACAGCTATGAGAAATACTCAGCTTTGTGTGGGGAAGAAAGAACGCATGTTCTACGAGCCAGACCATTGTATCCCAAGTAGCAGTCATCAATAGAATATTCTGAGATAGGAAATACTCTACAAATCTGTGATTTCCAATAGAATAGTCCTTAGCTATGTGTGGCTATGGAGCAGTTGACGTATGTCTAGTCAATTGTGTTTAAATCGTCACATGTGACTAGTGAGTACCACCTTGAACAGCTCAGGTCTGGATCCCAGAGAGGGAAAGGAAGAAGGGACTTCATAAACTGAGACACAAATGGCTCTGTGAACCTCTCTAAGGAGTTGAGTGTTTAGGAAGACTTTGGAGAGATTTGGAGGGTTACATAAGAGTTTCAGGGAGGCTTGTTTTGCTTTGTTTTGTTGTTGTTGTTGTTGTTGCTTGTTTGCTTGTTTGCTTGTTTGTAGAGGACTAGATCAGGCCATTGGGATCACCATCGGAGATGACCCAGAATGTAGCAAGCAGATATAAGAAGTAGATACATCTATACAATACTTTGAATATAAAATCAGTTAGAGTGGTATGACTGGTTGTTTATGACAGATATAGAAGAATTAGACGTTAGATTGTTGCCTGAGGTTTTTTTGCTTATCTAATTAGATAATTAGAGACAGAGAAAACACAGAAGGAGACTTGGGAAGGAGATTATGACCTTGGCCCCAGGTACGCTGAGGCACTGCAAGGTCTGGAGAATGGAGATGCCTGCTGGAGGTGGGCATCTGTCAGTCATGGTGCAGAGATTTCTGGTGGTGGGTAGGATGAGGAAGCATGGGCCAAAGCAGAAGTAGCACCTGGGGCTGAGTGACATTTACTGGTCAAGGGTAAGAGAAGGAACTTAAAATGAAGACCAGAGAAGCACCAAGAGGCTGTGACTTCATGGACGCCAACCAGTTCAGGCCACTGAGTTCACAGAACTTGAATTCGCCACCCCTCCCGGAAGTCCTACATTTCCTGCTACATTGAACCAGTTACCACCTAGACTCAAAATCTTACCTTTTTGGTGGAGGAATCCATCATGAGGGGAGGGCACAGGGAGGGGATGGAGGAATCCCAGAGTCTATGAAACTGTGTCACATAATGCAACATCATAATTTTTTAAAAAAAATCCTACCTTTTTGAATACCAAGACACTGTCCAGGACGACATGGAAGCGGCCCATGGTGTTTTTGATTGTTATCACACCAAATGTTATCTCTGGGTAGTTTTTGATCACGTCATAGAACAGATCTGCCACTTCCTCTTCCAAATCCTGTTTGGAAAAAGACCAAAAAAATGCTGACTTATTTAAAAGAAAGATGGAAATAGTGACCAGTTGGTTACTTTACTTTCCCAAGTTTGGAGGATGTGCAAAGTAAACTAAGTAAACTAAATCTCCTCTCATGGAAATGTCACACCCAAAACACTTCTCTGACTAGAACTAAAGCCATAATAGCAATGCAGAAAGTTGATAAGCTTAACTTTTTCTAATGATCAGAATATAGGCTATTCTAACTTGGAGATGGAAAGCTTTTAGTATTTATTCCTTACCTGTCTTGAAAAGAAGTGATTGATTTGATCACATGAAACACTGAATGTGAACTTTATATATATTAAGATACAGCTATAGCGCCTGGCATGGTAGCCTAGAGACTGAAGTCCTTGCCTTGCACATGCTGGGATCCCATATGGGTGCCAGTTCGTATTCCAGTGGCCCCGTTTCCCACCGAGCTCCCTGCTTGTGCCTTGGGAAAGCAACTGAGGATGACCCAAAGAAGCTCCTGGCTCCAGCCTCATATAAGCTCAGCTCCAGCCATTGCAGCCACTTGGGAAGTGAATCAGCGGATGGAAGATCTTCCCTCCTCTCTCTCCTCCTCTCTGTATATCTGACTTTCCAATAAAAATAAATGAATCTTAAAAAAAACAGATATGTAAGAAATTTTCTAAAAGCCAGAAACAATCACAAAGAGACAAAAGGGAATCAATAAAAAGTTATCATGACACATTTTATAAATTATTTATATCCTTCTCCAAGCATATTGCCTTGTTGGTATATTCTCAAATGAGTACATGTTTATCAAGGTTTATTGGTGGAATGCTCAAGAAGACATTAGGACAAGAATCTGGCCTGGCCAAAGTGTGGCTGGCTGTTGTCAGAATCATACAAAGCAGTGACAATGACTCTTGAAACAAAAGAAAGACATAATTTATTCTGTGATGTCCTAAACTGACCCTCAAAAAGACTAGTCATACTATTAAAATCAATTAAATGAATACATCAATCACCTTTGTCTTCACTTTTTACTTATTTGAAAGACAGGAGAAGGAGAAAGAGACTTGAGAGAGAGAGGTGGAGAGAGAAACAGAGAGAGAGAATGAAGCTTTCATCCATTGATTCATTCCCCTACAACAACTAGAGCTGGAACAAACCACAGCTAGGAGTGTAGCACCCAGTGTGTTTCTCCCCTGAGTCTGAAAGAGACCCAAGTACTTGAGGCACTATCCCTTCTGTCTCCAAGGCATGATTTAGCAGGGATTGGCCAGAACTCAAACCCAGACGGTCTGAGACAAAACAGAGGAGTTCTAAGACATCTTAACAGTTAAGACATCTTAACTGCCACCCCAAACATCCTACATCTTTCTCTATTTCTGTCCATCTTCCTAGACACTTTTTCTATTCTCTTCACTTTCCACTGAAACCGTGGAGCTCTCTAAGATAACCAGATTATTGAGTGGAGAAAACTTGGTATGAGACAACCTAGATGGATAAGTCTCTTTCCCACCACCTCCTCCTAACCCCAGCACTTCTCACCAGCCAAAAAGCCTCCTCCCACCTCTTGACCCCAGTACCTGAAAGAAGCCAATGATGACCAAAGGTCTGGAAGTCACAAATTCTGCCACCTGTTGGCTGTTGTTGAACAGAAATGCTTTCTGACTAATCTGTCTTCTCAACCAAACGACCAAGGCAGTAGATTCAACCACTCCTGGAAACAAAGACAGTGAAAAGAACCCCAAAGAGGTTTCTTGTTGATCAGTAACCAAGTCTGTGTTGCCCAAGTTTCATGAGCAGAAGTGTAAAAGCAGCTTGTCTTGGGTTCCTACTGCTCGAAGGTCAAGTTCAGTTCTTCCATTTCCCTCAAGTTCAAGGCCTGAATGTTAACAGCAGCTGACAGAGTTTAACAAAAGCCAGATTATTTGCTGAGTGTTTTGGGTGTGTTGAAATCTTCACAACAACTCTGTAGGACAAAGACTTCTCCTCTCCCCATTTTGCAGCTAAGGAAATCAAAATTGAACTTACAGTCAACTAGTCAACCTAGAGGTCAAATCTCATGGATAGTATGCCAGCCTCCTTTTCTTACGCACACACTCCAAGGTGATGGAAAGACCATTTTTAGATACATAAATTCAAGTACTTGAAAGTCTTTACCTCTAAAATGAGGACACATACCCCATGTCTGGAAAGAGATAACACTACACTGCAGTGTACACAGGGCTATAAACACATGAATGTGTGCTTCCTAAGATGGCAGCAAGTCATATGAAATATTGTTTCTGTGAAGCTCTGTTATAGGATAGAATGGAGCATCTCAAGTAAGGTTTTCATAAAAAGTAATGTTTGTTGTAAAGAACCATAGTCTTCATCCATAGACCTTTTCATTCACTCACCCTTTTTCCTTCACTCATTCATTGGACAAATCCTGAGTACCATATGCCCATGGTGTTAGCTACATATTGTCTTGGGGTTATGGTGGTGAAGGGAATCAAATGCACGCCTACTGTTTTGAAGCTCTGCAGGACAGACTCAACCAATAACTGCACACACCAGTCTGTAATCCCACCCAGAAGAGAAGTGTTCAAAGGCAAGCTTTAAAAGCCTATAGCAGAAACATCTGACCTAGACTGTGAAGTCAGAGAGATCTTCCTGGAGGAAATCTTGTGTGATCTGAAAACTTCAGGATGCTTAGAATCAGCCAGGGGCAGAGGAGCAAAATAAGAGGCTCTACAATAGAGTGGGCAGCTTGTGCAAAAGCCCTAGCATGGCACACACTGCCTCCTGGACTTGAGGAATGCACTCTGAAAGGCAAAGCACTTGACTTTCGGTAGCTTCATTTCCACAAGCATTAGGTCTTTTAGAAAAACGTATAACCAAGTACATTTCCATGTGCACATAACAACGAATACTTTGATGATTTTCACTTGTGTATGACTGCACTGAGATCAAGATACAGAATATCAGCAGCCATGGAAGAATCCTTACTGTGCCCCCAATCCCCATTCCTTCACTCTCTACCACATGGCTCATCATGATCCTAGCTTTAGATCATGTGCATGAGTCTGCCTGTGCATGAATTTCATGCAAATGGAATCACATAGTGTGTGTTGTCAGGACCGGCCTTGCTATTTTTCAGTTTTCATCCCCATTGCCCATATACCTGCAGTCTCATCTCCACTCCTCTGTAGTAACCTATCATGTGTACACCCACAATTCCTCTATCTGTTCTCCAGTGATGGGCATGGCTTTGTCTCCAGTCTGGAGCTACTGTGAATGAACTTCGGTGCATGTCTCCAGGACACATGGCACGTGCTTCTGTCAGGTATAAGTCCAGCTGCCATGCTCAGCTTCAGTAGATACAGATCACGCTATTTAAAGAGTCATAGTTGAGTCAGGTTGATGGAAGCTCCCCATGAGGATGATGCATTTACTCGAAGAGACAGGGGAATGGGGGGCTTGATGCTTCCCTCAGCTATTTGGAAGCACCCCACTATTGTCACCCTCTACTAAGATTTCAGCCCCTGAGTTGAGCTTCTATTCTCACAGTGTTCCTGAGTCATCTTTCAGGAAAATGGGTACACATTGGAGGGGCAGGAAAGCCTCCAAAGGAAATTCTCTGGTTAAAATTATAAGTACTCTATAAAGAATCAATTTGAAAATTCTGAAAAGACAAAAAAAAAAAAAAGATGAGCAAACAGCCTCCAAAGGAGTTTAAATCTCAGATCATCTGAGCCTCATTTTGGCCTCACTCCCCAGCCCCTCTTGGGTCACCAGCCAGCATATCAGGCTTTGGCACAGACTGGCCCCTCCACATGGCTTTCTTTTGCCTTAGCTCTCCAAGTGCCATGCCTCATCCACATCTCGGGGTGGGCTCCACAGCCCCCACCCCCTGCAACAGCCCAACCATTCTTGGTCTTGTGACATGTTCTGCTTTCTTTCCTACATTCATTACTTTCTGAGATTGCTGATGCATGCCATGTGTGCCCCCAGTATGGCACCTAGGATTCCTGCCACACTCTAGGATGAATGAATGATGTGCATGGCTTGAGGGAATTTGATCTTGGGATATGTGAGCCCCCTTGGTACTCATGCACTCTACTGGACTAAGGGAGTCATGAACTTGGCGAACAGTTTATTCTGGGCACCTGCAGTTCAGGTACTGCCCTCTTTGGGCACTGTGCCTCTTCTGGCGCTTGGCTGTGAGCCAGAGGACACAGTGACAATTGAGGTGTGAACGCTTTGTCAATGATTGACCGGACCTAGCACTCAGCTGAATATTTCCAGGCACAAGCTGTGAATGCATCATTAATAGAGGGCCTGGAGGCAACATGAGCCTCCTCCCTCCAGGAAAGTGGTCAAGGCCGAGTCTCCCACCATCAATCCTCAGAGATTAGAGGTGAACGGACTGGAGCTGTGACCCAGCAAGGGTAAATCTCACCTGCCTTTCCGTAACAGTCACATCGCAAATGTGACTCCCCCTCTTACTTCAGACTCGTGCTTAGAAAACAGAAAAGTTTATTCAAATTCTCATAGCTAGAGCTCACTGTAGTCCCTGCCCAGTTTCCATTCTGGCATCCCAGCACCTCACTAAGGAAGCAGGAATTGGCTCCTTGGTATGCCTGCCTGCCATACACCCTCACAATTCTATTCCACTTAAACTCCGAAACTAAGAACTTGCTTGTTCCAAGTAGTGGATTAGAGTCGGGGAACAAATGATATGATACTAATGATAAAGACATCTGCCGCTCCCTTAGCATCATGTAGAGCAGAGTTCAACAAACTGTAGCCAGTAGGCCGAATCTGGTGGCCCTAGGACTTTATGAATAAAGTTTTATCAAACACTACCTTGGCCATGTGTTGGCATTCTGTCTGCTTTCACATTGCTTCAACAGAATTGAATGTGACAGACATTTGGCCTTTAGGACAAAATGTTTATCAGCTGTCTGCAGAAAATGCTTACTAACTCTTATTAGCTGGGGACTTTGAGGAAGCCAGTCCAGTTTTCTGTGGTACAGTTTCCGCATCTGTAGAAAAACTGACTACACTGAATTATGAACACATTTTAAAAGTCCAACATGCAGCACCTGGAACAGTCAGTGCTGCAGCTATGGCTCAGGCCCCGCACCTCCCAAACGCCCCTGCATCTTCCTAGCAACCCCAGGAGGTACCTATGCCCACCATTCCCAATCCACAGATGACAAGAGGAAGTATCTGTTCCTTAGGCAGTAACTAAGGATTTGGATCCGGAAAATGTGTTGCCAATTCCCATAGACTCTTCAGGAGGCCCAGGAATGGAAGTGAGGTCAGACCCTGTCCCTGACCTTCAGCCATCTCTGATTTGCTCTTGGGACAGATCTGAGATCTGGCATCAGAGTTGCTCCCTTGAAGACAGGGTCATTGGTGAAATGACTTTGGCATTGTCAGTCTTCGCTTTCCTCCCCAACACCAGCACATCCCAAAGCAAGGGATCATTGATTGGATCCAAAGGGTTCACAGAAAGTAACAGCCTCTGCTCCTTCCCTCTCTGTCCCTGCCCTCCTTCCTCTCTCCCCCTGCACCTTATGCCTTCCAGCAGCCTGCCTGGAGCCACAGCCCTCCTCTGTCTCTTTTGTAACTGCTGATTCTTCCCCCCCCCTCCCCCCAGCATGTCCTTCCACAAGCCTAGCCTGCATCTCCCATGCCCTCTTGTGTCCATTTTGAAAACCACAAGGCATACCCTGTCACTGCTGCTTGTGTGGGCATTCCCCAGCCCACCTGTCCCTACCACATCATCCCATCTGGCTTGTTAGAAGTCAGCTATATGCCAGACCCTACGATCCACAGTCTCAATGTCCTGAAAATCATTCAGCACATATAATGGGAACATTCTCACATAGGAGAGGCTATGCTGCTCCCGTCTGTGTTCATCAGTGTTATCCATCCATCACGATACAGCCAAATACATAAGTTTAAAAAAAAAAAAACAGTACTTTCCATATGTCACACTGAAGTGTATAATTCTCCAAATCTCAATATTTAGACAGGGCTTGACACATTGGGGGGGGGGGGGTTCAATAAATGCGTGTTAACTAAATGATTGATATAAATTCAAGCGTTTGCTAGATGCCCCCACCACAAACCAGCCTTCCTTTTGGCTAGTTGGCACATTTCTACCCTGGGACTCAGTCAAAATCACTATAAAGTAGCAGAGTGCATGAGGGCAGGTGGAATTAGAAGCCCAGTGAACCCAGCCTCCCGTCTCAGCCCCATTCACCAAGATGCAAGATGTGGTAGAAGCAGCGACATAGGCACCCATATGTTCCTAGGGCCACAAAGCAGAATCATGTTGCTCAGCCCTTCTTGTGTTTTGGAGAATCCATGTGACAGAGTTCTGGCCAGTTCAACAGGAACAGAGGTGATAGTCACCACTTCAGGTCTGGTCAGGGTCACGGCTGTCACCTGTGGCAAGCTTCTGCCTTCTTATCCTAGCTACCCAATCAGAGACCAAAAGAAGAGCAAGTTGTTCACAAACTCGTCCTAGAGAAAGAAGGGCGTGGCCACAAGCCAGAAGGAGCCTGAGTCCCTGAGGGGCCATGTGGAGCAGAGCCTCCCACCTTCACCCTCTGGCAACCAAGTGGGCTTTACACGGGCACGGGGTAAACTTGACACACAAGCCCCCTCACCTTTGCAAGTGATGGGCTCTGATCTGTTGCCCTCAAAAAACAGCTTCAGCGACGGCGCCTTCTTCACACCAAACTCCTGCTGAAGCTCCTTCTCCACGGTGATGTCCACTTTGCCAAAGCCAACCCCGTTCTTGCCTTTGCCCATGACATCGACAGCTTTGCCCAGCTCCTCAGCCAAGTTCCTGGACTGCTTTGAGGATGCGTTATCTGAAAGACGTAGCATGGAGAGAGCTCATCAGAGCCTCTCCCTACCACTTGCCACTGCTCACCACCACTCCCCACCACCTGAGGTCACTTCTTTATTTGACCTATTTTGTTCTCAGCCCTTTCTTGGGCCCAGTTGCTACTGGATACATGACATGGAGTGATCCAATGAAAGTTTGTACAAGTGGACAATTTGGGAAAGGTACATAAGAGTTTGTAGGGCTCGCTGATATTGGAAGCCCAAACTGTGATCAATGCTGGACAACATCCTCAGTGTCTCTAAGCTTCATTTTTTTATGGGAAAAATCAAAGCAGCTACTTTATGGAGCTGCCAGAATGAAATGAGAGATTCTAATATTTTTGATTTATTTATTTGAAGGGTGGGAGGGAGAGAGAGAGAGAGAGAGAGAGAGAGAGAGAGAGAGAGAATGCCCCTATCTGTTGATTCACCCTCACTATGGCTCCAACAACCAGGATGGGATCAGGTCAGAGTCAGGAGCTGGGAACTCACGTGGGTGGCAGGGACCCACGTGCTGCTTCCCAGAGAACCAGGAGTAGATCTGGGGCCTGAATCCAGATGCTGAAATATGGAATGTAGGTGTCTCAAGCAGCATCTTAGCTGCTGTACCAAACACCTACCCACAAAATGATATTTACTGAATCATCCATTGCCTAGTGCTTATTAATTTCTAAGAGCTTTATGTGTTTCAAGTCATGCACATCTCCCCATACCCCCACGGAGTAGGTACTATTATTACCATCTCAGTTTTATGGGTGGGTAAATTGAGGCACAACAAGAGTATCTATTTGCCCAGGGCCCTGTGGCAGTGGGTGCTTAGGTTGGGATCTGAACCCGTTCCTTGTGGATGCAGAGTTCCCATCCACTGACCAGCACTGTGCATGTGAAACTCATCAGCCAGTACTTTCACTCCTGGCTACTGGGATGAAATTTGTGTGGACAAGATCTTGGGCGCGAGGGGGGGCGGAGTGAAAGGGAAAGGCAGAGATTGAGAGAGGTTTCATGAGTGCCATCTAGTGGAATGTCCTGGAGCTAGCAGGCCAATGTGGGCCCCTGCAACTGCAGGGGGAGATTCTGGCACATAAAGAAAGCCAGGTGTGAGGAGAGGGCAGGAGGGTGGCTTGATGTTCTCTGATTCCTTCTCAGCATCCACCTTGGAGAAGCAGTCACAAAAAACGATGAGCTACTCTGAGGAAAGAGACCGAATACAGAGCTCTGGCCTCCTAGGTTTTTTCCATGGGTGGTGTGGAAATAGCCTGAAATAACAAACTGGTCTGTGATCTTGGCAGGAATGGGGCCCCTGGGAAGCAGCCCAGTGGGCCTTTCATCGCTCTAAGAACACTCTGAGACTCCAGGCCCAGGCCCAAGGCAGATGGCCCAGCCAGGGAGGCGGGCATTGAGTCTCTGTTACACAGGAACACTCTGTCTTTCTCACACTTCCTGCATCTTGTAAAACACAGCCCAGGGAGCCAGACACTGGGATGGCTGTGCACATGTAAACCCAATGTACCAGCAATCTCTCCTGCTCCTATAACAGAATCCAGGCATAAGCAATCAATGGGTGCCTCCCTCAGAGACAGCAGCTTCTCCACTTCCTACTCCATCGCCATCACTGCCTTGATAACCCCCATCCACCACCACCAGCAGGCTTGGCCTATTGGGTACTGCCCTGGATCCACTGTCCTGTGGGGTCAGCCATGCTGGGCCCATGGTTGCTGGCTGACAATCGCCCATATATGACCCACTTTCATCATTACAGCCAGAAATAATTCGCTGTTGTATAACTAAGGAACCTAATGACAATCATGGGTGGGTGGAGGGCACATCTTCAACTCTCCGTGCACCTGTCACTGTGCTTAGCACATTTTCACATGGTCTCCCCAGTAACCCTAGTTATGAAATAATGTCATTAAATTCTTCAATTTGGCCTAGTGATTCGGATGTTGGTGCAGGTGCCCCACATCTCATGTTGGAGTGCCTGGACTCAATTCCTAGCTGCAGCTCCTGATTCCAGTTCCCACCCAATGCACACCCAGAGACTCCACATCCGGGGTCCCTGCCACCCACATGGAAGGCCTGGACTGAGAACCTAACTCCTCCTGGCTTTGGCCTCCCAGCTACAACAGCTGTTTAAGGAGGAAACAGGAAATTTGTCTCCCTGGCACTCTTCTTTCAGTCTCTCAAATAAATAAGCAAATAAATAAGCAAATAAATATGTTTTTAAATGTTAGGTTTCCCACTTGGCAGCCAAGTAAAGAGGTTCAGAGTGTTCAAGGTCATTTGTTCAAGGTTGCCATGCTGGGAGGTGGTGGAGCAGGGTATTTGAATGGAGGACTACAACACTCCAAGGCCGACCTTCACCTCCTTACACTGCACTGGCCGGACAGAAATAATAGGGTTCTGGAAGGTTGTGTTAGAGGGGGACAAGCCGAGAGGGGACAAAGGTCACCCTGAAGCAGCATCCAAGAGCGGACAGGAAGGAGAATCTGCATGGAGCGGCTGCTTGGAATGCAGGCAGAAACCAAGGAGGAGGAGGGACCCTGCCCTGCCTGGCTGGCTCCTTTAGGTCCCTCCGGTTTTGTCTCAGCTGGCCAGGCCTGGCCCGTCCCAGATGCAAGCCTTGGCCCTTGCCTGGAGCCAGCTGGCCATGCTATATGCTTCTAAATCCATGGCTCACAGCTGCCTTTCGCATTCTCCAGATCCCTCCATGTGGAAAGTGTTACAGCACAGCAGAGATCCACGGTTCTCCACTTGGGCTGTGTGACATTGGGTAATACTCTTTGCCTCTCTGAACATTTTTTCTTAACTGTAGGCAGGTCATGATGCTTACCACACTGGGCTGTGTGGACCCATTGACCTAACTTCACGAAGTGCTCAGAACAGAGCCCAAGGCAGAATGGGGCAGCCCTCCTGCCCAGACCCTAGGGAGTGTTCTCTAGGAAGAAACCTGTCCCCACTCCTGCAAGGTCTATTGGGGCAGCAGAGAACAACAAGTCCCAAGGCATACCTGCCATCACTCAGGACCCTCTGCAAGTTACAGGAACTCATCGCAACTCAGTGTGGTTGCCACGTTCACACCCATTTTTACAGGAGAGAAAACTGATACCTGGAATGTCAATGATACGTGATGGTCAAGCCTGACTCCTAGCCTTGAATGGGACAGAGCAGCCGCACACAAACCCAAGGCCAAAGTAACATCCTGGTCCATGCTGTGATTTGTTTAAGCTCTTTTTCAGCCTCAGCATTCTTAGCTGGAACCTGAGGGCCATCTTATGTGTTCACACAGCTACAAAGCATCAGGCCTCCACCTGACCATCATTCACCACCTGAGAGGGACAAACTCACGGAAGAGCACCATGAGGAAGCGGGTCTCTTTCAACATCTGGTCCAGGCCTGCAGGTGTGAGCACCATCAGATTGCCTTCCTCCACGATGCGCAAGGGCTGGGTTATGTTGATACTGGAAACTTCGTCGTCGTTCTCCAGCAAGCTATGGTCAGCAGAAACGCAAGAAGCCACCAACAGGAGGGGCACCCAGAGCAGCCCCATGGCTGTGCTGCAGGAATAGAACCCTCAGTCAGCACAGGTGGTAGGGCCCATGTCAGCCCTTCCCGGCAATGCCCACAGCTGGGCAGCATAATCAGACATCAGGTCAACCTCAGGCCCAGGCCTGCTAGTCAGAGAGCCCGGAGCTGCAGGACACAGAATCCCACAGGCTGCAGGAGCGCTTCAGAGAGGCAATCTTGCTCCCAAGTCCTAGGGTGAGCCCTGGATTCCAGGGGTGACTAGCCCCCTCCCCGCTCACAGCCTCCCAGGAGTCCCTCTGTCAGCACTGCTATCCCACACACTGTGCTCCGCCAGCTCCTGCAAGAATGCCCCTGAGACGGGAAGCTTACCACCTGGCTGTGTACCTCATTTGATTTTCTTGGGTGTAAATATTCTTTTTTTTATAATTTGTGATGAGGTACACTTGAGAAAAAGTTCCAGGCACCATAATAAAAACACATTCACTTGAAAATTAGAATCTCTGACATGAATCCCACGTGGAGAAAATCACAGTTTGCAATGAAAAAGTTGCACATTTTGAAAATTCTGAGTGCGTACTTTCCAGTGCATGTCCTAAAGCATGAATGATATCCAGATTAGTGCTTGATTCATCCTGAACCGTGGATATGCATGTCCCACCCCTGCCTTAGGGGAATTTTGAGTGAATACCACCAGTCTGTCTCTCCGAGGAGCAGCTAACTTGGAAGGACTCGGATAAAAATATTACAAAGAATTTCTTGAGGAATGTCAAAAAATACTAATTCTCAGGCCAAACCACTAGGTTGTGATTTGTTTGGGGTAGGGGGATGAATCAGGACACTAATTTTTTAAATGTCCCCCCACCATCAAGTCAATTCTATTGGGTAGCCATTTGTACCCAAGTTCATGGTTCAAACCATGGCCCCTGGCAGAGGGAAGACTACCAGGGCAGGGCTAGTAGTCAGATTTTCCACTCTCATAGACACTCATACCTGTGGGAAGCTGGCTCGCTCTTAAGTGAGCTGGGGTTGGGAGGCTGCACAGGACAGTCCTGGCCTGAAGAGTAGGCTCCTGGCTCCCCTTTGTGACTAGAAGGTGGCACACAGGCAGCTGGGTGCTCCAAGGAAACCCAGAGACAGAGGTTAAGTGCCCCTCCTGGGCAGTCTGGCAGCAGTGTTCTGAGTTCTGAGGTTGCAGAGAGACAGGGTCGCCCTGGAGATTGGGCCATTGTTGAGTAAGAGGCAGCCCTGCCCATAACCAGCAGGAGCTGGGCTTGGTTGGGGGGTGGGGTGCAGGAACAAGGCCGACAGAAAGCAGAAGGGTTCTGGGCTCAGTCGCTGCCAACTGTGTGGGCTGGAACATGTCCCTCTCCCCGTTTCAGGTCCAACATCCAGTCCTGTAAGATAGCGTACCCCTCACAGGGGTGCAGGGCATCAACAAGGAGACACATGCAGCATGAGCCCTAGAGTTATTCCCAGAGGGCAGCAGTCCCCTCATCCATCACCACCCCAGCTTCCCCACACCATCTACTCACTGCTCCAACCACAATGGCTCCTTGCTAGTCCCCAGAAACAACTCTGTTCCTGCTTCAGGGGTCTTCTTGCACTTATGTTTTATCTGATGGAGAAGACCACCCTACATGGGGCCACTCAAGGAGCAATCTCTTGTCACCTTCAATTCTTCACTCAAGTGTTATCTTCACAGTTAAGCCTTTACTGACCCCTTGGTTGAAAAACTTAACACTGGGCCCAGCTCAATAGCCTAGTGGCTAAATCCCTGCTAGTATCCACCGGGATCCCATATGAGTGCTGGTTCATGTCCCAACTGCTCCACTTCCCATCCAGCTCCCTGCCTGCGGTCTGGGAAAGCAGTTTAGGATGGCCCAAAGCCTTGGGACCCTGAACCCATATGGAATACCTGAAGGAAATTCCTGGCTCCTGGTTTTGAATCATCTGAACTCTGACCATGAAATCATTTGGGGAGCGAATCAGTGGATGGAAGATCTTTCTCTCTGTATCTCCTTTTTGTATATCTGCCTTTCCAATAAAAATAAATCATGAAACAATAAAACTGTAACACTCATTTTCCCAATGCTGTGACATATATCCTGTACCCCTTATGACTTTTATGGGTTTGTCATAACATCAATCACCTACTAGATTTCAGTTTATTTGACTTAGCAGTAAATTATTGGTGCTTAGCATGTTTTGGATGATACATGGCCACAGACATCAGAACAACAGCCAGGAGCCCCTGGTAGTTCTCAGAGATAGAAGAATTAAAAATTTCTTTCTGGACTCAGGAGAGGAACTTTCTCTGGCCCTTACTTAGTTCCAGCTTTGGCTCCTGATCCTCTCTTGCACTGACCACCAGGGTCGCTCAGGAGCCCCAAAATTAGCTCAGATAGACACAGAGAGACTAATATAGAAAAAGTCAGCTGGCCTATAATTGCTCAGCCTGTACTTCACTGGTCAGGTTCCCGATTTAGCTTTTCCTAGACCTCATTAGGTGGGATGTAGAGTTCAGTTGTTCTTCACTTGCTAATCCCCACTTATTGGGGATTTCTCTGCTCACCTGCCTAAGACTTTTCTACTCTTCAACTGTGAATATATGGCTTGTTAGAGTCATAACACTGTTTTGATTACCCTAAAATGCACGAAGTTCTGCAAAATCTTGCTTGTGTACTATAAACTGCTGAGTTTAAATTTTTAAAAAAATCACGTCGATGGTGACCTGAAATCCCAGGGAACACATCCACCCATACGGAAGCAGCCACTAGCTGCTACAGTGGGAGTCTCCCCTCCCATTGACCGTGGCGAGAAAAACCTGGCAGCGGCCCCTTGCCCTGGTTCAATGTGCTTCAAAACCATTGGCAGCTAACACAGGCTCCAGGTCCGCCCTCTGGCAGTGTCCAGGCCAAAGTTCCTCCCGTGGGAGGTTTTGTCAACTGTTGGCTTTCCCCAGTGGCACAGGCTGCAACAGAACGCGGGTTCCTTCTGCATCGTCTGAGACCCTAGTAAGGTAATTCAACAGGTGTCTCCTGTACCATTCCCCAACCTCCTGCCGGGCTTTGCTGATGACCCATGAAGGAAATGCCTTGGGAACTTGGAAAGGGGGCCTGAGCTCTGTGGAGAGGCCAGAGGAACCTAGTGGTAGGCCAGGAGCACAGTCTGGGGGAGGCAAGGGGGTAGGCAGGGCAATCAGGAGGAGTGGAGGAGGGGGCCTCTGGGGCCACAGCTGCAGGCCTGGCAGTTATAGCAACAACACTCAGGTTTCTCTGGGAGGTGAAATCTGGAACTCACTTTTCCCCCTCTTTAGTGTCAGTGGTAGCTCTGTAAAAATGGAGGAAATAACCCTGTAGGCCTTGGGCCCTTCTTAAGGACTCACAATCACACTGAGGAAGCTTTGCAGCATGCTCAGTCCCCAAAGGTAAGCTTAGCCTGGATTCCTTGCTGTTGTCACAGGTCATTGCTGCTGGGCGGAGTGCTCATCTTCTGGTGTTAGGAGCACCCAGGAGAGCTAGAACAGAAGCAGGAAGTAGCCTAACACAGCCCCAACTTCCACATGCAAGGGGGACACATCTGGGGATGCTGCATAACAGATTCTAAACCACAGGTGACCAGAAGAGGTTGAGGTGGAGCAGTTGAAACTGATGCTCATATGTGGCAGCTGCCGCTGGTGCTGTTGCTGTTCCAAAGACCACACTGGGAAGTAGCAAGATGGCGCCATACAATACAGGACCTTGGGATGCTAGAGCTGTTGGGTGCCTGAAACACAGCTTTGAGGTGCTTGCATATATAAGACACACTGTAGACTTAGAGGACTTTTAGTGTAAGACAGCAATGTAAAGCATTTCATAATTCTCTTTCACTTGGATTCCATGCTGAACCCACACTTTGTTATCTGATTAACTCAGGTGCCTGACTGATTCATTCCACCTATTAACTTTCACTTTTCTTCACAAGCATGCCAGAACATTATAAATGGTTTGTGCAGCTTATGGGCAGTTTAAAAAATTATGGAAAGTGTGTGTTACGGAAAAACCAAATGGATTTTTATATTTTTCGCACCAAAAAAAAAATCTTGTTTTTATTATTTCGTTTGGAACTGCCCTCATGTTTCTGCCAGCTAGGTCTGGGCTACAGCTTTGTCTTGCTTTGCCTGGCCAGGTTGGGACTGGCAGAGGTTGTTGGAAGGATCTCTGGGCGGGCCTGGGCAGTGATCCTGAATGAACTCTGAACTCCTGACCGCAGATTGGCAGACAACCACAGGTCAGGGGAGGGCACCACTGGGGCAAAGAGGGAATCTCAGGTTTCGAAAACAGAAACACACTCGAGTTGAGACTGAAGTCCAAAGTGTGCTCTGCATAGTGTGGGGAGAGTGCAGGCTCCTCCCACAGCTGGGATTCAGCACAATGCTCTCTCTGCTCTTGTAGGTGACAGACAAGAGGCGACCAGCCACAACGAGAACATGGGGCTCTGGCTGAGAGGTGCGGTCCTGCGGGCACTTAGGGGTTCCCGGGGATTTTGCAGATCTCCTGGGCAGCCATCACCTCTCCCTGCTCCCCAGAAGGTGGTGGCCACTTGGGAAGCCATCAATCAGGGACGGCAGCCAGTGCCCGAGTATTTCAACTTTGCCCATGATGTGCTGGACACGTGGAGTCAGATGGAAAAGGTGAGGCCCATCCTGCCCTCTGTCCACTGTGGGTACCCCAGGTTGCCATGGATATCCTTGCCTACTCCAAGTTCCTCAAGATCACAGGCGAGCACAGAGTGGAATACACTAACTTTTTTATACATCTCCTTCTTTATTTTCCCTTCTTTGTGTGCCTGTTGTGTCTCTGTATTTTATGGTTACCTTTTATTTATGCTAATGGCCATCAACTGATAAAACAAAATGTTGGGGTGGCTGTTGTGCTACTACACGTCTAAGTCTCATGTTGGGGTGCCAACAAGTGGCATGCAAATAGTATTTCAATTTTAAAAAGGAGGATTATGTAAAACAGTATGAACTGTATGCTACCTTTTGCATTTTGCATTCAAAAGATGGTATAAGAGATAGACATTTGGCACAGCAATTAAAATTTCTCTAGGGATGCCAGTTTCCCAGACTGGAGTGTCTAGGTTCGACTTGGTTCTGTTCCCACTTTCTATTTCCTGCTAATGAGCACCATATGAGGCAGTAGGGGGTAGCTCAAGTAGTTGGGTCCCTGTCACCAAATATGGGAGACTCAAATTAAGCTCCCCAGCTCCCGGATATGATCTGGCCCTGGCCCTGCTATTGTGGACATTTGGGGAATGAAATGATAGATAGAAGAGCCCTCTCTCTCTCTTGCTCCCACCCTCTCCCCTCATTTTCATATAACAAAATATTGAACAGTAAAATGCTATTCGTTTTCAAAAGGTTTTGTGCTTACATTTACCTAAAAAAATACTGAAAGAATATGTGAGACAGAATAAAATTGATGGCTCATTAAGACAGGTGAAGTGAGAACAAGGTAGTTAGAAAGAATGGAGCAAGTCCCTGAATGAATCTTACTCCACATTGTTTTGATTTTTGAGCACTGTGAATATACTCAATGTAATGTGAGAACTAGTAAAAAAAAAAAATAGTTTTAAATAAAAGCCAAAGTCCTTGGCAACTGGCTTCTGCTTTCTTTCCTGCCTGTGCCACTGTCTAGGTTGGGCATCGGCCCCCAAATCCTGCCTTCTGGTGGGTAGGTGACTCAGGAGAAGAGGTCAAGTGGAGCTTCGAGGAACTGGCCAAACAGTCCAGCAAGGCAGCCAACGTCCTGGAGGATGCGTGTGGCCTGCGGCCTGGGGACAGGGTGATTTTGGTGCTCCCGCGGCTCCCGGAGTGGTGGCTGATCAGCGTGGCTTGCATGCGAACAGGTTCGTAGCCAGGCTAACAACACACCTGAGCCTTGCAGTGGCCACAAGACCTAGGAGGTGTAACAAAATGAGCTCTGTGTGGAGTTTGGTTTACTTTCTCTTTGCCCAGTGATTATAATCTTAATTGTACAAAGGGACCAGATTGTGTTGTCCTTGATCAAAGCAGAACCGCTTAAAGAAGGCCAACGTACAAAAAGTCTCTGTTCTTTTTTGAACACCTGCTATGGACTAGGTACTGTGCTAAGCACTTCGCATGATCAAAACTTCTCTTGGAAGCATTAGGCTTTTTCATAGGATCTAAATTTCCCCAGTACCCCTAGTTCTACAGTTTCCCTAGTTTCCTTCATGTCCAAATCAAATCACTCAAAACCAGCATCCCACATTTTCAAGTCAACTTTGACATTTCTCCAATATTCTAGAAAGTATCCAAGCTGGATGTCCCTGCATCCACTCATCCTCACATTTTCCAGATGCATACATGTCAGTTCTCTTCCAAACTCCATGTGGGAAAGGCCTCCCCTGGAAATAACTAATCCACAGAGATGGGAGAACAACCACAACCACAGGATGTCGGCTCAGGGAGGGTATACGCTGAGGTGCTGCAGTCCCTCAAGAGTTGGAGATAGTAGTGAAGGGCAATGAGAACTTGGAGTCAACCCTATCTGGAAGGTGATGGGATGATGGGTTCTTTGGGGAGCTCCTCCTTCTCCTCTGTGAAGTGAGTGTTGCCCTGCACAGGGTGCTCACAACCTGCATTCATTACAACTCAGTCTCTCAAGTGCTCCGTGAAAACTTGCTCCAATCTGTGCTGACTCATTCCTTCCCTGCCAAGTGAGAAAGGTCAGCTATTTTCAGATAAACTTTGGTTCAAGCTCTGGATCCCTACTCCCTGATCCACCTTCCCATACTCACAAGAGACTCACAACCAACACTAGGATCCATTGTAGCATTGCATTTGAAAAGCTTGTCAACTGACTGGACTGAATCATCTCTAAGTCAATAGAATACCATGGTCAAGATCGTGGTCTCAAGTTGCGCACTGCCTGGCTTCACAATTCCAGCTCAGCAACTTACTTTTCATGTGATCTGGGGCACATTGTTTCATTGATTTAAGGCAAAAGTCTTAGTTGTTGTTAATAATCATACCCACTTCCCTAAGTTGTGAGAAGTGGAACAATGCCAAGTTCTTAGCACATGTGAACACTCCCCAAATACCTTCCAGATTTCATTATCATTGTTACCTCTTCCAGCTCCTTCTTTGCAGTCCCTGTCCCCTCTCTCTGACCTCTACCCAATGGGGCTAGGTCCTCCCCTATGCTCTGTCAACAAGCCCTCTCTGTGTGCTGTCAGGGGTCGTCATGATTCCAGGCATCTGTCAACTCACGGAGAAGGACCTCAAGTACCGGCTGCAGGCGTCCAGGGCCAAGTGCATTATCACCAGCGACTCTCTAGCTGCACGGGTGGATGCCATTAGCGCTGACTGCCCCTCCCTCCAGACCAAGCTGCTCGTGTCAGACAGTAACCGGCCAGGCTGGACAAACTTCAGGGCACACCTCCGGTGAGTTGTGGCTTCCAGGAAGTTAATACTCAAGTGAAGTCAAGGTGCTTCTGTTCTAAGTCACAAGAGTTGGAAGGCATTGCCAACTGCACAGGAAGGGAGTGAATGAGAGACTCATGCTCCCTTTGGAAGCCAGACTGATCATCTTCATAATCAAGTTCACTCACTCGATCAATGCTTGGCTTATTACTAGCTTTAAAAAAAATGTGTATTTTTATTGCAAAGGCAGATTTACAGAGAGATGGAGAGATAGAGAGAAAGATCTTTCATCTTCTGGTTCACACCCCAAGTGGCCACAACAGCCAGAGCCAAGCTGATCCAAAGCCAGGAGCTTCCTCTGAGTCTCCCACACAGGTGCAGAGTCCCAAGACTTTTGCCTTCCCAGGCTGCAAGCAAGGAGCTAGAAGGGAAGTGGAGCATCCAGGTCACTAACTGGTGTCCATATGGGTCCTGGAGGATGCAAGGCGAGCATTAAGCCACTAGGCTATCATGCTAGGCCTTTTCATTAGCTTTTGTCTGTCCACAGAGCTATTAGATCCAGAATATGCAAAATAACCAAAAATGTACAATTTGTGCATAGAGGGTGGCCAAAGGATGATAAAATAACTGTTATGTATCCAGTGCTTTGTGTATACCTGACACTGTGTTAAATAGCCATTTGCATACAATTATTCATGCACCAGAGATTTAATGACCATCTGTTTTGTGGCAAGCATTATGTTTAGTGTTTAGAACATGTATATGACACCAGTTCATTTAATCTCTGAAAAGAACCTTCTAAAGTGTACTGTCTCCATTTCACTGGTAAGGAAATGAAGACTTGCCCAACATGCTAAAAACGAGTCAGAAAAAGTCAAAGCCCCAATTGCCCTGGATAGAGAACTTGCTGGAAGCCCATCTAAGACTCTGAGACAATGTTCTGCTCTAAAGCCAGAAACTAGAAAGGGCCCCTGGGGGATCTGCACACTCAATCCCAAGGGCCCATCTCACAAACCAAGTGCATCTGGCTCGCCTAGCTGCTGCTTCAAATTCCAATCCCGAAACCCTACACCTGACCTGCTTAACCAGCAGCTCTGCAGCAGCTCTGAGCAAGGCTCCAAGAGTCTGGGTTTAATCAACTCCACCCAATGGACTTTGTTAAGCTGCAGATTGTCCTAAGTCAGCAGTATTCCATTTTGAGGTTGTCACTGGAATTACTTGAGCTTAAAATATTTAATTTTCTGATTTAATTTGGCCGAGGGGTAGGGCCTTGCAATGATACTTCTTTTAGAAACTTACCAGGAGGTCTCAAGGTGCCGGTAGGATTCTCAGAACTGTTGTCCAGATCTCAAAGTCCCCAGTTAGGGAACCCTTTAAAAAAGCAGTTCTGAATCCTGGGGAATTGGGGTGGGGCAGGAATACACAGGATTATGGACATTGATTGTGTGTTACCACAGGGTCATCATGTCCTGGTCAGAGAGCATGGGCTCTCCTGTATCAGACAATTAACTGTTTTGAAGCCTTAATTTCCTTACTTGCCAACAAGTTCAAGTTTCTACCTATGGCACGGCTATAGGAGATGCAGACTGAAGCGCTCAGCACTGTCTGTCACACTTGGTATTCACTGAAATATTGGCTAGGCATATTGTTAGTACCATTCACCTCGTCTGCTACTCTGCGTACCATCTGGTGTTTTTACATTGTCCAGAGAGGCTTCAGCCAAGCATGACTGCGTGAAAACCCGGAGTCAAGACTCCTTGGCTATCTATTTCACCAGTGGAACTACCGGAGCCCCCAAGATGGTCGAGCACTCTCAGAGCAGCTACGGACTGGGCTTCGTGACCTGTGGCAGGTACTGGGGATGGCTCATCTGGAAGATCTAAGAACAGAGTGGGCACATGAGTGGGACTAGGCAAGTGACGGGCAACTAGCAGGAGCTGAGAGCAGAGATCAACAAGAAGCAAATCAGATAGGAACTGAAGGCTTTTGGCTTTATTCTGAGTGAGGTGAGAACCCATCAGAGGATTGAACTGTTTGGGAGGAAAAGAGAACATAAACTTCATCTTTTTGTGTGTCATTCTTAAATTTGCAGTCCCATGTTGATCATCATCTCCAGAAACTGTCTTCATTCTTCTCTCATGGAAACTCCACACACCCCTCACCCCTCACACATTAACCCCCATTTTCCTCTCCCTGGTTCCTGGGCACCTCTCTCTTGGTTCCTGTCTCTGTGAATGTGATTATTCTCAGTATCTTGAAAATACAAGTCTTACACAATCTGTCCATTTTCTTGTACTAAGCATAATATCCCCAGGGTTCATCTATCTTGGAGTGTGTGTCAAAAATTCCTTCTATTTTAAGGCAAGAAACACACTAGAGTCTATGTATGCTACTTTTGCTAGGCCATCCACCTGTGGATTGCCACTTGGACTGTTTCCACGTGTAGGTTATAATCAACAGCACTGCTATGAACACTGGTGCACAAATGACTGTTCAAGTCCCTACTCTTAATTCCTCAGGGGTTACAAACAGCAATGAAATTGCAGGACCACATGATGATTCTACGTTTTAGTATGATACTTCAGAATATGTGTGGCAAGGTAGAATTAAGAGATGTGTTCATTTTGATGCTAAATGTCTTCAACAAGTTCATAGGAATGTGTGTTAATGAAAATACCACACCTGAGGATTATGGATGTATTTTGAACATAGGACTGGTAAGTCTAATGAGAGTAGAGTCAAGGATGAGTCCAGATTGCATAGCCTGGATGGGATGGGGAATGGAGGGATACGAAAAGTGCATTTTATACACTGAAAATGCAAATTCTCCACACCCCTACGTAAAAGTGATGATGTCCAATAGGCTCTTGGGTGTGTTTGTTGAGAATTAATGAGAAAAATGCCTGTTGGAATCCTGAGTACAAGGATGGTTTAATAAGAGGAAGACCAAAACAACAGATGGAGTGCCTGAGGCTTTTATACATGGAAGGGGTGACTGGTATGACTCAGCAGAGGCAAGGAAAGACAGACAAGGAGGAGAAGAGAGGGGGAGACCAGGAGACCAAGCGCAGGACACAATTGCTCTTCCATCTTCCCTGCTCACAAGGTTTCTCTTCCTGGAGCACACCTCCTTTTCCCTCCCCTTTGTCTAACCCAAGTACCACCTTCTCTTCAGGAGCACACCCAGCCCCCATCTCCTCCCTTGCTCTAAGAATTCAAGCAGCTCTTCCGTCATTTCACAAGGGTTTGCGTCAAACTCTAGTTGAGCATTTTCTCCAAGGGCTTCCTATATGCTTGTATTTACTAAATGATAAACTTCTATAAGACTAAGCATTCATTTCCATATCCTTAAGACTGAACATCGAATAATATGGCTGAATAAATTGTATTTACGGAGATTAGTTACTCCCTTGTATATCATTCCTGCTAGACCGTGAATTCCTTGAAAACATGAGTTCTGCCTTTTTAATTCTAAGCCTTAGGGCATAGCTACCTTGAAGATCCTCAGTAGGTGCTTATTGAAACAGTGGTTTACTTGATTATTCTTGTACAGTTTTGACAAACACAAGTGAGGATCCACTCTGTACAGGGATCCAAATAAGGTGATAAGCACAGCCATTTTAAAGTAGAAGTATTGTGGAGGGTGCTGACTTTTTCTCATTTTTGACAGGCAGTGGATGGCCTTGACTGAGTCAGACATCTTCTGGAATACAACTGACACTGGCTGGGTGAAGGCAGCCTGGACGCTCTTCTCTGCCTGGGCCAATGGAGCTTGCATTTTTGTGCATGAGCTACCCCGAGTTGATGCCAAGACCATCCTGAATGTGAGAGACAAAAAATGTGTCTCATATGTGTAGAATAACTGAAATGGGTGGTAGAATTTAGCAGACTCAGTTCCATCAGCTCAGGTGTGTTCACAGCTTGGTGGCTTACTTGTACAGCATAGGGTGTGATTGGAAGGGCATCCAAGACAGAAGTGATAGCCTTTGTATAGCCTAATCTCAGAAGTGACATCTGCTACCTCAGTGCTGTGCTGGCCATACAAACCAACCATGGGACAATGTGGAAGGGGATCCTATAAGGGCACAAACCCCAAGTTATGGTCCCTGGGAACCATCCTGGAGTGTGGGTACCGTACATGGCTTTCAACTTTTCTGTTTCAGTAACAAGCTTTGAAAGAGCCAGCTTGCCCACTCCAATTCCAGAGTCTGCCCTTCTGACTCTAAAAAGTTCTATCACCTTCTGTTTGTGTCTAGACTCTCTCCCTGTTCCCGATCACCAACCTCTGCTGTGTTCCAACCCTCTTTCGGCTGCTTGTGCAGGAAGATCTGACCAGGTACAGCACACCTGTTTGGTGCATTGAGGGCCAAACAAGGAGAAAAGAGTGTACAGGAACCCACATGAACACCCCACTCTCATTCCCACATTCTGTCTTACTCTATATATCCATATTTGTTTACTTCTCGCTGGCATGAACACCTGTACCCTTTGCAGGTCCTCCCAGAAACATGTCCAAATTGAACATGGAATGGAATAGAGCTAAGTTGATCTGCAGTTTCAATGTTCAGGGACATGGGCTTTTTCTCACCTGTACCTGTAAGCTGTTCCTTCATTAGAGTATCTGTTGTGTCTGTGAGAATAGAGAAATTATTGGGTAAAAGCCTCTTAAGGGAAGGAATTGGGTGTTAGAACCCTTTGGTATGGGTGATATCCATAGGCCCACCATTGTGGTTGCTGTTTTGTCCAATTCTAGACTTACTTCATTTAGCCGCTCTGGGTACCTGGTATTGGGCACTCACAAGATTCTGTGGCTTGTCCAGTGAGTGCACAGCAACATCTGCTGGCAAGACAGCGCCAATGGCTACACAGAGTGGACAGTTCAAGATGTCTATGTAAGATGTCTTCATCTGGCCAACATGTGTCTGAAAAAAGAGTGTTTTTCCTTAGTTGTCAGGCAAAATCCTCTGTAATGTCAGACTCTCACCCCCTTGGCTGGTCTGCTGCCTATATCTTCATATTAAGATTTTGGCTGAGAAAAACCATCTATTCAAGGATAATTTACTTGATTGTCAAATGCATTAGACCCAAAGGAAACGTTGATTGAAAATACATTCACAAGCCCTGATATTTTAATATTTTAGGTAAGTTGCTGAACCAAGATGTGGTTTAGCAACTGATTTAGTGGCTTTAGGAATTTTGGGCCCATCTGTCAAAATTCTGTGATTTTTTTTAGTTTTGTGATTCTTATGGAGGTGAATTTCTATCTTACCAATTTTTAATTGAGTAATCATCGTCAATTAGATAGTTGTCAGCATTTATTATTAAATAGAGCCTACCGAGTTCTGCCAAAACTACTAGAGGTGATTCTGATTTTATCCCTATCTCAGTTAGCATTGATTATTTATGGCTTGAAATTCAGAGACACAGACACAGGAGCAACAGCTCCCATTCACTGGCTCACTCCCCGGATGCCCGCTGTAACCAGGACTCAGCCTAGCCCATGTCAGGAGCCTGGATCTCAGGTTTCCCACACAGGTAGCCAAGACCCAAACACTTGAGTCTCTGCTATGCCTCCCCCCCAGAGTACACATCAGCAGGAGGCTGGAATGCACAGCAAAGCCAGGACTGAGACCCAGATACTCTGATGTGGGATATGGATAGCCCAAGTGGCAGTTCAACTGCAGCATCAAACACCTACAAATCCAGAGGGTAGAAGCACTTAGAACAGATCACCAATCCAGGGAGTTCAGCCTCTAATGCCTTTGAGGGTCTGGACCCAGACAACATGCCTGAACACTGTATGGGGATGATGTGCCAATCTCTGTGGTCTTCTCCCTTGAACAAGGTACAAGTTTCCGAGCCTGAGGCACTGCTCAACAGGAGGCGAGGCCCTCAACCCTGATGTGAGAGAGAAGTGGAAGCTACACACTGGCTTGGAACTGTTTGAAGGCTATGGACAGTCAGAAACAGTGAGTACTGTGGCCTGACTCCCTGCCCTGGCCTCTCCACCCATCCCCATCTGTGCCCTCAGCCCAGAGGGGAGTCTTCTGCCCTTGCAACTATTCTCTCCTTGACCTGTCTCCCCTTAACCCCCACCGCCTCCCATGGAAGAAGCTGGTGACAAAACTCCATCGGTTTTTATTTCCTTTGGGAGTTAAAGATAAGTTAAAGTAATTTCACAATTACACCATAACCAGCAAGCAAACTCTCGTGGTCAAGGGTGATGTTAACCTCCGCCAGGGCAGCCTACACCTGCTCTATTCAGAGCCCAGGACCTTGAGCCGTGCTTGTACAGCCATTAGGACAAACTGCCCATTAACTCTCATCTGACTTACGATGTGTTCTTTATGTGGGAGTGTTCTTTGGACAGCTCCAGAAATGTTTGTTGACTATGAAAAGCAAGAGAGAGAGAGAGAATAAGAATAAAAATAAGAAGAGGAGTAGTAAAGAGGGAAGGAGGGGAAAGAAAGGGCAAAAGAGAAGGGAAGAGAGAGAAGACAGAGAAAAAGGAGAAAGTGAAGAAGGGAGAAAGCTGAGTGGAAGAAAGGCGAAGTCCAGGAAAGAAGCTAAGGCAATAAAACCAATGAATTTCTTTCTAGGTATTAATTTGTGGCAATCTAAAAGACGCACTCATCAAGTCCGGATCCATGGGCAAAGCAATCCCACCTTATGATACACAGGTAGGATGTGCTACCAACTCACTCTTGTGGCTGGGACATGAACAAGGTGGGTGCACTGGGTTAGCCAGGCCTGTCTGGCTGCTCAGCCTCGTCACATGATCTCTCTGCCAGATTGTGGATGATGAAGGCAACGTTCTGCCTCCAGGAAAAGAGGGGAACATTGGCATCCGTGTCAGACCGAACAGACCCTTCTGTTTCTTCAAACACTATTTGGTAAGTGGCAGAGAATGGCCATTCTCCTACCAACTGCTGTCTGCAAGCATGAAGCCCAACTCTTTTTGTAAAGATCAATTTAATTTTATTGGAAAGTCAGATATACAGAGAGAAGGAGAGACAGAGAGGAAGATCTTCCACCTGATGATTCACACTCCAAGTGGCCACAATGGCTTGAGCTGCATCAAACCGAAGCCAGGAGCCAGAAGCCTCTTCTGAGTCTCCCACGCAGGTGTAGGGTCCCAAGGCTTTGGGTCATCCTTGACTGCTTTCCCAGGCCACAAAAAGGGAGCTGGATGGGAAGCGGGGCTGCCAGGATTAGAACCAGAGCCCATATGGGATCCCGATGTGTACAAGGTGAGAATTTTAGCCGCCAGACTACTGTGCCGTAAGCCCAACTCTTGATACACATCTTGAAATCAATGCATGAAACAGCTCAGCATTGTAAGAAATAAGGTGCTGGGAAGGGTGAGCACACCTGTCATTGGGAAGGAAGCTCAAAGTGGGGAGCCACTCACCCAATGGGCTTTGCAAATTGTGGGATCGAATCATGTGACACAGGGGACAACCCCTTCACTGTCGTGATGAGAAAATCGAGGTTTGGGGAAGGAAAAGCATGAAGCGAAGGTCAAACTTGAATTTTATGTTTGAGCTGAGTTTTCAGGATTCTTTTTTGGGGGGTGCTGGCAGGGTGTGTGCCTAAAATTGGAGATGATCCAATACAATTGTTCAATGCAGAATGACGTGTCAATCAATAAGGGATGACATAGGATTCCATAAAATTAAAATGGAACTGAAACATTCCAAGGGCCTAGTGAGACATCAAGGCTGTGGTGATATCATGACATCATGCAGTATGTTAGCTGTATGTGTGCATGTGTGTAGGTGTGGGTATGGATGTGGGTGTGTTTGTTGGGGTAAACTTGCTGCACTGCCAGGCGCATAAACGTATGGCACACGTGTGGCAGGCATTTGGCACAGCAGTTAAGATGATGCTTGTGACATCTGCATCTCAGATGGAAGGACCTGGGTTTAAGGCGCTATTCCATTTCCTATCCCAGTGTCTTGTCACCCTGGGAGGCAGCAGGTAATGATTCACAGCAGTTGGTTCCCTGCCACCCACACAGGAGACCTGGATTAAATTCCCACCTCCCAACTTCACCCTGCCTCTGCCTTTGCTATGGCAGGCATTTAGGGGATGAACCAGTAGTTATGTGAATTCTGTCTATCTCTTCTCTCTTGAATAAATCGCAAAAGCATTGTACACACAAGTATTCACAATGTGTAAAACTTGGTAAGAAGTGACCATCTTAAGACTTACATGCTTACCGTACTTTTTATCATTATTTCACAACCTGTTCCTTCTACTTATGAAGAAACTTACTGTAAACATTCCATGTGTCACGCAGGCAACAGCCTCTTGCATCTTGTGTTTACTGGTTCTCAAGATGGAGGTGGGGCACATTGGGTGTTTGAGATATTCTGTCATGGTTTGTGTACATCCCCTTTGGACCATGATCATGAGGAGTTTTCCCTCTCCCAACTCTTCTCTGTAAAACCTGGACAGTAGGCTGTGCGTTGGGAGCACCTGGAAAACCTCTGTCACTCCTGCAGCCTGAGCCACACCTTGGGCTCATTCAATCAAAATTGCCAGTGGTCAGTGGAGGTCAGCTCCTACGGGAAGCCAAGATTGAGAACCACGCTTTCCAGCAATTCCATCTCCAGCTCTTAATCAGGCGCAGTATGGCAAGAAGCAGTCACAGGAATCAAGCCTTTTGCTTTGAGAATGTTGTGTTTTAGAAGTTGTCCTGTGATTCTAAGAGCAACAATCTTTACCTGTGTTAATTCAAGAGTCATAGAAACATCTACAAAAAAAGAAGAAGAACTTTGTGATCAGGCCAAGCGACAATCACAATGAAATTCTAATGTGCTTCCTTCTGATCGCTTTTGTAAACAACAGCAAATCCTTGACACTTCTGACGAACAAACTCAGTTGTGATTTATTCATTGCCTGTCCCATGCCCCCAGAGGCAGACAAGGCACTCATGGAGTTCACACACGTTTCCTCTATGGGTCACATCACTTCCCAAAGTACTTTGTAAAATCATTTACTAGAAAAGAGGCTCCCTTTCTCTGACGCTTTATTTCCATTGCCAGTACCAGCAAATACTTCTTTAGAACTTGGAGTACCCGAGTTTGACTTTTTTTCTCTGTCCTTTAGCCTTACCCTCCCCCACTGCCCCCAAGCAGTATGCCTTTTGGCCAGAACCTCTCATCTATATCCAGTGATTTTGGAAAACAAAGAGAATGAATGTGTTTTCTCATCCTTTAAAAAAAAATCAGTTTAGAAAATCAAGGCAATGTCCTGTGCCCACCTTCCTACATTCACCTAAGTTTCCCAGGATCTTTCTCTTTGTGGCACTAGGTGACTGCCCCGAGCCACTTCCTGCCCCCAACCATGTGGAGCTAACCAAGCAGTTGCTGGCCCAGATGATCCCAAATGGACTGTTTGACTTTCAGGAAAATCCTGAGAAGACGGCAGCATCAGAGAAAGGGGACTTCTACATCACGGGGGACCGAGCCCACATGGATGAGGATGGCTACTTCTGGTTCGTCGGGAGGAGTGACGATGTGATCAACTCTTCAAGGTCCCATTGTCCGCTCATTGCCTCCCTCAGATGTATCAAGGCAGGATTGGAGAGAGGCTGTGTGCATGAGCGTTTGCTGTTTTTTTCTCTTTCAGCTACCGGATCGGGCCCGTGGAGGTGGAAAGTGCCCTGGCTGAGCACCCAGCTGTCCTGGAGTCTGCCGTGGTCAGCAGCCCAGACCCCATCAGGGGGGAGGTAATACCTGGGAACATCTCCTCCTGCTTCTGTACCCACGACATCCAATAGAGCCAGCAGGGAACACAGTGCTAGCAGGTGGACACATTGCCCAGTCCACTCCCTATGTTTCAGCATTAACCAGCTACCAGCATGAGACACACATTCCCTCTAGTCTACCATCACCCCGGCCTTCAGAGATATCACTCCTCTCCAGCAGCATGGGGGTGTCTAGCCCTGCCAAGGCAACTTCAGGCAGAAGAACCCATCATTCAATAACTCCACAGTCAGCTGTTTTTGAAGTTGATCATTTTGTCTTGCCTACAGATAATGTTATAAACAACCAAATGATCCTTGGGGGGGGGGGGCGTCGGGAGGGAGTGAAACCCCATCCCTGCTAGAGGGACACGATGGGAAAACACACTGGTGGCAAAAGATAGAGACCTGATCCCAGCGGCAGACTGTGGGACAAATGTTGGTAGCAGGTGCAGCACATCCATTCTACCCAACACAAAATTCTTTTCTGTTTGCAGCTGAGGCTATCACAAACACACTAGACCTGACTGTGATGCATCTGGCCTGGAGGGAGTGCCAGGCACTAGGCTTCTAAGATGCATGGAACAGAAGCAGTGCCTCTTAGTGTTTGCTGGTTGCAAGCGTTCCTACATATATAACTCCTGGAGAAGTGGATGCACTTTCCTCAATCCTGGCCAGTACCCATGCCAGATTAGGGAAATCTGAAAGTCAAGGCCCAGTGGAACCCTGCAGAAGCTCCTTTCTCCAAAGTATTTTTATCTTAAGAGAAGCGACATTGGCACCTGCTGGGGTCAGTTCAGGTTGGGGAGTGAACAAGGCTCTGCAATGCTGACTCCCCCAGCAGCAGGCATGAAAAAGTGAGCAATGGAAAAAATTATCTGGTACGCTGGATAAATCCAAGGAACTGGTAAAACTGTCATGATAGGAGAAAGGGGTCGCTGTACAAAGTGTTACCCTGGGGTCTGCTTTTCCCCTCCAGGTGGTGAAGGCATTTGTCGTCCTTTCCCCAGAGTACTCCTCTCACGACCCAGAGGTGCTGACCCGGGAACTCCAGGAGCATGTGAAGAGAGTGACTGCCCCATACAAATACCCCAGGAAGGTGAATGCTGGGAAGACAAACACGGGATGATCAGGAAATCCCACGGGCACATATACACCCTGGGTTCCTGAAGGTAGAGCTGTGCTCTGGGCCAGGCTCAGTGGTAGCGAGGACTCGTAGAAGTCCAGTCGCTGCCTAAGCAGTGTTCTGCGAGCCCTAGCCAGAGCTCACTGTGTTACTCTAACAAGTGTGTGACTCTGGAAAGGAGGTCTGTCCCATGTTCCAGCACTTGGGTCTGATGCCCAACTCAAGCTTCAGTCTGCAGCCTGTTGCTGACGCACACCCTGAGAGGCAGTGGCGACCACCCCAGCACTTAGATTCGCATCACCCACATGGGAGACCGAGATGGACCCAGCCCTAGCTGCTGCAGGAATGTAGAGCTAGAGGAATTCAGACCAGAGCTAGAAGTTCTCTGTTTTTTCTCCCTCTCTTTCCTCTCTCTTGTGCCACTCGGTGAAAGTGAAAGTCTCCCTGAGCCATGATAATTTCTAAGTTTTTTTTTCTTATTTCCATCACTAGGTGGCTTTTGTTTCTGAACTGCCTAAGACAGTTTCTGGAAAGATCCAAAGGGCCAAACTGAGAAGCCAAGAGTGGGGTAAATGAGGTCTGCACAAATGCCCTGCAGACCTCCAACCTGCCCACAGACACCAGAGATGTTTGGCTTCCACTAGACCCCTCCAGAGTCACCACATGATCTCAGGAGAGCGAAGAGCTCTGATCAGCTCATGGCCAACACCCAGTCCAGCAGGTACTCTAGGACTCCATGGAACCCTCTAGTTGGAAGCATCTTAGCGACCTTCTCACTAGCCTAACTAGGCCACCCTTGGAAAGGCCAGGTCATAGCAGTCACAGGGTACCTGCCATCTCCCTCTCTGCCAGTAGGAGCATGGAAGCTTAGTTTAAGCCTTTGAATGGTACCATTTGATAATAGCAATCAGGGACATGTCCTTTAGCATGGAAATTTCATCTTTGGGACTCACCTAAAAGAAAGGGCTCAAAATGCAGAAATTATTTGTTGCATAAGTGAAAACTGGGGAAAAAAATCAATGTCCAAATGACAGGGAAACGTAGTAAATTAACCCAATAAAATAATTACCTGGCCATTTAAAGATCTAAGGACTGTTTATTGTGTCTTGGGGAAAAGATAAGCCATTTCAATTTTAAAAAGCAGAATAAAATAATGTATGTGTGCTGAAGGATCACAACTCAGAAAGGTAAACAGCAAATTGTAGCTGGGAAGATGAAGCACCGATACACTAAGATGGGAATTTTCCGAGGGATGGAGGAGGGAGAAAAAATGCACGGCTATCATTGTTTTCTTTCCTCTTTATATTGTATCTATAGTTTGCCAAGTTTTCCTAATAGGTAGTATAGCCATTTTAGTAAGATGCCATTTTACAGAAATGACCTCAAAGCCACGATGCTTTATGTCTGGTTCTCCTTCCACATACACATCACTCTGAGATGTTGGTGAGTTATGTGTTATCCAGGAAGGACATGGCAGTCCCTGACATTGACAGGTGTGGCCCTGAATCACAGAGAACAAGCTTGTGGACAGGCAGTTGATGGCTACCCAGCATGCTCCTCATGCCCCATACTTAATACCCTACATTCCCAATCACACAGGAGGGAGTGTTGCTCAGTGCTGGCAGCTGAAAACAGGATAAGCAAGACCAACCCAGTCAGTCAGCATGAGTTTGCTTGGATTGTACAATCAAGTGCCACAGCCTGGAGAACTTAAACCGCAAGGACGTATTTATTTCCTCATGGGCCAAGAGAAGAGGGTCCCAGATCCAAGGGTTGGCAGGTCAGGTCTAACCTAAGGTTTCCTGCAACATGTGTGGGTGGGTCTCTGGGTCTCCAACATGATCTCCACACACATACATATATGCCTATTCTTTTCTTAGAAAGACACTGGCTGTGTCACACTCTCATGAGACCCCACCTCAGCTCAAGCAACTCTTTAAAGACCTTGTCTCTAGATGTTGTCACACAGTGGCACCCTCAAGGTTAACATGGATTTGCAGAAGGAATAAGAGAGCCCAATTACAATACCCTTGTGGAGTTGAGTCTCATGGAGTGGGTGATATTATTCACCACAGAATACTGGACATAAACGCATTTCTCCGATACATACCGCGGAGGAGACACAGATCAGTGAGAGACAGAAGGAACAGGGAGCGGAGAAGATGTTTGCATGAGAAGCTCCTGGTGTTCTGAGACCTAAGAGTGGAAGGTAGCACACAGGGTCAAGCCCAGGTGATCCAGCTCTGGCACACACAAGTTCCTGAATCAAGACAGCTCAGCCCCGGGGATTTTGTCTTTCCATTAACTGAAGGATTACACGGTAATCCTTCTTTGCTCTTCCAAAGCAAGAAAAAACACACGGGCCTCTCCCAACACTCGGGCTAGGGGGTGGAGTCAGAGATATACCTGGGATCCCGACTCTCCAACACCACCACCACCACTCCCTCCCCGCAGTGTCAGGGAGCCAGAACTTTCCCCTCTTTGATTCTTTGACCATTCAGAGGGGCTTGGATGGAAATGACATTTACAGGAAGTGGCCCTGGGCCAGCACTGGACCACTCTAATGACATCACTGAGAGTGTTTGGGCCACAGCCACCTGTTTTTCTCAGATCTGCAGCCAGGAGCCTCGCTTACACCTGAATCGATACAAGCCAGGAAGGGTGAGGCCTAGCTCCAAGTCCTGCAAACTATATTGAGCCACCTGCCTTCCCTGCCTCCCCATGCAGTGACCTCAGCCCAGTTCAACTCCAGAAGGAAAAAGGCCAAGGTCCCAACCATTCTTCCCTGTCAGCTGTGCAGTCCCTGAAGTGACTGATAATAAAAAGCCACAGTGACCCTCAACAGTGAGAACTTACCTAAACCATGCGTTGTCCTCAATGCATGGCTGAAATCCTCCACTTCAATTGTCTCCAGCTTTTGTGGTTTCCACTAAACCTTCCTGATTCTAACTTGCCCCACACTGACTTATAAGAGACAAATCTTTATCCTACACACTATGATGGTTAGAGGAGAACACAGGATAGGGAGGAGTGCCATTCAGTGTTTACTTACACATATCACAATAACTACAAAAGTGAAAAAGAATGCTCACTTAAAAGTCAACTTGCAAAATCCATTTTGGGGAAAACTGTTGAGATCTGGCCCAGTCAAAGCCATAGAAAGCATTTGGGAGGGTTGAAGGAATCAGCAGATGAGCTCATCTCAAAAAAATGTATAATTTCTTTACATTGGGAACATCCCAAGTCCTTTCTTTCGCTATTTTAAAATATGCAATAACTGTGGTTAACTTTAGGCACTAGCTGTACTGTGCAGGACACCAGAACTTGCTCTTCCTGGCTAACCATGATTTCTGTCATGCAGCTGTTAGTTCCTGTGCCCTGGGGACTAGCCGGGGAACAGCCAGTTAGCCAGGTGGCCTTCTGAACAATCTAGAGAAGGCCCTGGGACTGTGGTTTCAGGATAAGGAGACCACCAGGCACTCACACTGGGGGAGACCAGGGTGGGAAAGGGAAGGGAGGGGGTCACTAAATGTGAGCCCCTTCGGTACAGTGCCAGGAATTGGCACTGTCTTTATCCTTTTTTGTCTTTACTCTTGATCGGCACAGTCCTTATTCTTCTCTGCCTGCTGCTTCCCACAGGGCCTCACCTGCAGAGTTTCCAGCACCATGAAAATCAAGCCCAGCTCTTCCTCATTACGATGTGCAGGAGTACCAGGGGCACCGCTGCGATAACACTAACGTTTTAGAATCAATTCACTGCATTGCTCACTGAGTTGAAATTAGAGCATGCAAACAAAGTGATGCTTTTTTAAAGGAAGAATGGAAGAATATAGAGAAAGAAAGAGAAAGGGAAGTAGGGAGAGAGGAAGGTGGAGAGAGAAGGTGGGAGGGAGAGAGAGAGGAAGAAATGAAAGAAGGAAATGGAGAAATAACTTGCATTCTCACCATCCAGAAAGAACCACTCTGAATATACAGCCACAGAGCTGGATATGTAGTTACTCACACAGAGACTTAAAACACCAACAGTAAATCTTTACATTGCATTTTACCATCTGCTTTTATCATGTAATGATCCTGAGCAATCGTTTTCCCAGGTCAGTTAATAGTCACCATGCATGGTTTTTAATGCCTAAATAACAGAAGATAACCTGGTCCTACCACACGCCCTCTATTATCCCAAGGGAGGGCATCTGCATTTTTACTACTAAACACAACACAGTGCGACAATGAATACGTTGCAGCTGAAGTTGTGTTCTTTTGCCTTGACTCCTTGGGCTGAAGAAATTAGAATGTGTGTGGTGAATGCATATAGCTGTATGGATCTAAAATGTAATTATTTACACTAGCATTACATGCCATCACCTGCCAGCGTGCACACTGTGAGAACTATTTACTGAACAGCTTTTGTCCTATTTTATTTGTATCAAACTCTCGCAGTATTAACTGTCAGCTGAGGCTTAGAGCTTAAGTAGCTCGGTCAGCATCCAAAGTGTCACAGCCGTAAGCAAAGCTTGCATCTGTCTGGTTTCCAAGGCCCCTAGGAAGTGAGTCTCAAAGATAGTGGGAGACTCTTGTTTCTCCTGAGCTCCTACAACCAGAAACTCATCATGTACAGTCTTAACAAGAAACCTCACCAAAATTATCCCAAGTCAGAGATACAGGATTAAAACTCATGGCTCCTCTTGGTTTCTGGTTCTTGTCTCCTGTCTCTGCCTGAGTCAAGCTGTTTCTACCAGATGCATCTCTTTCCACAATCTCATATGGAAGAGTTCCTAAATCCGCTTGACAAAAGGCTCCTCCCACTTTCCCCTGCTTCCAGCAGCCACACCTCCTCTACCCTCTTCTTCATAATAAGCAGAATTCCTGCCTTCCAAGCCTTAAACCCAAGTCTTCTCTGTAGCTTCCTCACCCTGTCTCTTCCCCCAGCGCAGGAGCCACTTATTTAAACATTTTAGGCCACAAAGTCTTTGGTGCGACTGTTCGGCTTTGGCCTTGTGAGCCAAAAGCAGCAAGAAATGATACCCCAGTAATTGCCTGAGACTTCAGCCCACACTGATTCCCCGCATGCATAGTCATGCCTCATAGGATATATTCCAAGCACTGTGCTGTTAGGTGATTTCGTCATTGTGCCAACTTCAGGGTGTCCTTAGGCAACTTGAGTGGTTAGATAGTATTGGCCAGTTGCTTGCCATGGTCTCTCAGGGTAATGAAAATGTGTGAGGCTTCTTCACCATCTTAGAGTGAGTACGTCCACTCTCAAATCAGAAGGGCAAATACAGATATCCATAACAGTTATTGATTATCACTAGATCAAATATTGTGCACTGTACATGCATGTGTCATTCTTTTGTTTCAGAGGTAGAGGCAGAAAGAACAAGAAAGAGAAGGAATAGCCCCTACTTCAATGCTCATGACAGCTAGGACTGACCATGACTGAAGCCAGGATGCAGGAGTTCCACCCAGGTCTCTCCTGCCAGTGGCAGGAATGCAGGAGTTCAGCCACATGACAACTCATGTTGGAGGCAGGTGTCTTACTCTTTGGGTCATCATCATTGCCTCTCAGCATCTGCATTAGC